CCCCACTGAAGAACCTTTGGTGTGTTCCAGCATAAACTCGTCCTCTCATAGCACGAGCCACTCTTTCTGCATTCTCTGCTTTGATGTAAGCTTCTCTAGACATTCTCAAGCTGTTTAGGTGATTTGCAACAGTTTGACTGGATGTGTACGATGACATTGCTGGTAATTTATTGGTACTATTTCCTGGAATGTTTGGATTCTTCCCAAAGACTAACTGGTACGGTGAGAAACCTAGTACGCTAATAAGAGAATTTTTAGCGTGTATAGCCCACATAAGAGCAATTTCAATCTTGCATTTAACATCCTCCATTACCTTTTGAGTCATGTGACCAATCAAGTCATTGTGACGTTCGCAAATACCGTTCTGGAATGGTGCTTCTGAAGCAGTGTCTTTGTGTAGTATGTTGAAAGCTGCAAACATTGACTGCCATTTGTCATTGACAAATTCTCCGCCGTTGTCTGTAAGAATCTTTTCCGGTGGCCCGAATACTGAAATCCAGCATTCAAAAAGTTTCTCCATCACCTCATCTGAGTCTTTGCTCATCAGGACGTGTGCAGATGAGAAACGGGTTACATAGTCACAGCAATGAAGGATCCACGTTCCATTTATCTTCTTGAGATCCATGGTTACTAATTCATTGAATTGGTATGCAAGAGGTAAGGCAACTGTGGGTCTTGGATGAGCACGTTTATGTTTAAGGCAGTAGTCACAAGAGGTATCTAAAACTATCAGCTCTCTCTCAACTTCTTTATTGGACATATCTGCATTCTTCAGAAGTTTAATTACTCTCCCTGAACCTGCATGTGCAAAGCGCTTATGAAGTTTAAGGGCTTTCTTCTTAGCTTCAAGTACGCCTGTATGATCTTCATTGGCAATCATAATCTCACAAGTGACATTGTTGACATAGGATGGGTCTCTCTCTTTTGCTAGTGGTAAGGCATAATGTCCTGTACTTGTTGTTGTTAAGGAGAATGAATTACCATCAATCTTAGCTTCATCGGTCTCAAAATCAATATTCATTCCTAAAGCTTTCATAGTCTGTAGTGATATGAGGAGGGGAATATCCGTGGCTACCACATCTACCTCTAATCTGATGTCACGTTTGCATATTGTCACTGGGATAAGAACTCTCTTTGATGCTCTCATAGTGCCGACCCCAAACCTGAACATGGTGTCGGAAGGGTATTCAGTCACTTGTTCTCTAACCTTTTCAGGGAGTGAGTCTAGGTAAATAGTGTACCATTCTGTGCCACATACGGTACGACTGGCTCCGCAATCAAGAACTGCTTGATTGATTGTTTCGTCAACTAAAAGTATAGTCTCAATCTCGCTTCCAATATTAGATTGGAAGAATATAGGTATCCCACTTACATCAGATGAGCTCTGTTGGCTCTCATAAAACTGATCATCATAGCTAGCTTCTTCAGAACATAAATAATTATTATAGCCTCTGCTATTGTTGTTGGATCTGCTATTGTTGGATCTGCTATTATTGTTGGATCTGTTGTTGGATCCAGTCATTCTTTGCCGCAATTCACGTACATGAGGGCAGTCTCTAATCATATGGTTCAGGTCACCACATCCATAACACTCACGGCTGTAGGTCGTGTTTCTTTGATCTCTGTTAAATGGGGGTCTTTGATTTCTTCTGTCTCTGTTGTACAGTACCTCCTCTTCTTCTTGATGACTCCCATAGAAGTTTATCTCTTGCTCCTCTTTAACAACGGGTCTAATCTGAATCTTGGAAGAGTCAGACGTGATTAAGGGGGTGTTAACATGTGAATCAGTTAATCGCAACAGTGCTTTTTTGGAGTCACTCATAGTTTTATTAGTACATGTTGCATTAGCGATGCGCTTGTCACTTTCACTGAGCTGCGCTCCTTCAATAATTAGATATGAAAGAATTAAATCTGGAATTTCAAGTCCACCAGTTTTCAGTTTAGCAACCTTGCTTTTGTAAAAGTGAATATACTCTTTCATAGTTTGATCTTTACTGCGTCTAAATCGGTAAAATTGATCAAATTGGTCCATAAGATCATTGTCGCTTTCATAAATACAGTCCAATTTTTTAATGATTACAGCTACGCTAGTGTCTGCTTCATCAATTATTAAATCTGACGCCTTGTCAGCCATGTTCATGATAAGTAAGACTCCCTGTTTCTTAGTGTCATCCTCTTCACAAACTGTCGCCCACATGGTGACTAGCTTCTTCCATTTGCTGTACTCACTGGCCTTCCCACTGAAGGATGGAACTTTGTTCTTCATCGTTGAGTGTAGTCTGCTGTCCAATGTTTGTAGGTAATAAGCAATGAAACCCAGTAATCGTATAACCAAGCTGAAATGATCTATATCAATGTATAGTAAATAATACCTTTAGTCAATCTGAATAACTCACAATACTTCTATAAAGAGTAAAAGGGATAAACCCATAAACACTTGACGGAGAGAAAGTAACTCACCAAGAAAGCTCCGTCAAGGATCGTAAGCTCTAGTAGGTCTCTAGAGTCTGTCATATAAAACAACCATGCTTAAGGAAAACATGGGGTTACATAAAGATATATCCTAATATAGGAAATCTAGAGAAAAGGATATATGACAATATCCCGCCTAACAATATCCCGCCTAACAAAGTTAGAAAACTAGAAACGATTAAATCACCCAGAGGAAAGACAAAGCATTCTTGCTTGATTAAAATATTAAAATGAGATACTCAATATCTCTCACTATAAACTCTAACAAATATAAAAGCATTATTAAAAATACACTCTCATAATATTATCAAATAAGTAGAATAAAAAACCCCGCAAATTATAAGTTCATCAAATATAATAAATAAATCTCAAGTAGTCACCAATGCCAATTAAAACACAGCATCTCTTACAATAAATGTCTTTTACGATACAATACAAAAGTCCATGGCCAATTCAGTTTTGAAGATAGCAGAGTAGAAGAGTAGAGAGAATCATCCACCAGAAGCATACACAAAGAAAACTTACAGCAGGAGAGAAGAGTTCCTCGACTGTTTTTTTTTTTTTTTTTTTTTTTTTTCGTATAACCAAGCTGAAATGATCTATATCAATGTATAGTAAATAATACCTTTAGTCAATCTGAATAACTCACAATACTTCTATAAAGAGTAAAAGGGATAAACCCATAAACACTTGACGGAGAGAAAGTAACTCACCAAGAAAGCTCCGTCAAGGATCGTAAGCTCTAGTAGGTCTCTAGAGTCTGTCATATAAAACAACCATGCTTAAGGAAAACATGGGGTTACATAAAGATATATCCTAATATAGGAAATCTAGAGAAAAGGATATATGACAAATATATCCCTAACATAACCTGCAGGTGTGAAACCTTGTAGCAACCTTGTAGCACCCTTGAACCTAGGTAGCAGTATTAACCACAGAAGTACTTAAATCCCTTTAGGAGACACCTAGTTGTCTTAAATGTTCTTACATACAACTGTAAACAGATTGGTCGGGGTAACGTGGTACTACTACAAATCTGATATAAAGGGGTTGGTGGTCCAGTAATGGCTTCAAGAGATTGGAATCCCTTAAAATTGAAAATGTATCATTCAACTTGTATCATTTATTTGGTACTTAAATGCCAAATGTATGTTTACACATCAGTGATTGACCAAGGGTTGCTTCACTGTAAACCAAAATATTATACTATGTACTAAAAAACCTGTTTAAGGATAAGTGGGAAGGAACAAATAAGATCAATAAGAAATATCCCTAAAGCAAGGACATATCCCAATAAGCCTGATGAGCAGGTGTCCAATTTGGCCAATTTCTGCATTTAAGCCTCAAATGGGTTACCAAAAGAGGGTTCCTGGGGAAAATTATTTGGTTTTGAAATTTTTGTTTGACCGTAAAAAGAAATCTTGAAAAAAGAATTCAAAATTTCAATAATGCCCTTTAAGCACATCAGGGGCCAGGTGGCGGAGTGGTCCAGGGTTCGAATCCTAGTTTACACCGTCTAAGGTGATAGCTAAGGATCTGGTGGATCTATGCGAAGTTTTATGTCTTCTCGGTTGACTCAGCTGAATGATTGGAACACTGTGATTGATGGTTAAATGAGGAGGGTCCCTGCCAAATGATTGAGAATCTTACTAGGGTAACTCTTCAATACATCTACACTGTAGTGTAATGTAAACATAATATCAAACTACACTATACCATGATTTTGGCAGAAAACGGCAGAGAGGTGAATCAACAAAACACCCAAAAATATCCCCCAAATTACTCCTGTGTGGGTAGTAAATCCCTTATATTATAACAGAAGGTGGAACCTGCCATCCTGATCTAAAAGTCATTACCCATACGTTGGGTCTTATACCACCGCTGTGTTTTATATTTGAGAGTTGTTGCTTTGCAGATGGCTTACTGTACCTACTTGTTCGAGGATTCCGTCACCAAAATTTAAAAATTCGATTTTTGGGGGCCACACCCAATCAACATTGAATTGCTTATACTCATGTTTGTGAACATGCCAGAGACTCCGTTGTAACATATTGCAACAGGTCATTAATCCGGAATATAATCTGAAAAGATGGTTGCGAAACAGATTTAAAATGACAAAGTTATCAAGCAATTTGTTTATCTTGTTATCAAAATTGATTGGGTACTCAATGATTACCCAATTACGACATTGTAATTGGGCTCTCTACACGATTACCTTAATGCGGATCTAGCCTCAACCTAATCACCTGATCACACATAATGAACAAACAATTGTGTCTCTAACAATTTACTTGACGTTTGATTTGATTTGATTTGACCTCAAATTTGCCCGCCATGAGTATCAGCTTTGAACCCACTATAACTACTCACTAGTTCTGGATGTTCTGAGCAGGAACCTTGTTATTATTATTACTATAAATTACAATACAAATCTTTATATTTATTAATACATATTTCTAATATTTTTATTGCAACTCTATACTATAATATTGGATGCTTGGCACAGCATTAATATTTTCCCATGATAGTTGTGTGATGACTTAAGCAGCGCAATCACGGGGGTCGACGGCATTTTCAACAGCATGTCATGCTGTATAAAGGATCCAGAAGAATTGACCAGCTATGAGATTGACAAGGATCTTAAAAAGCAGCAGGCAACTCTTCGTAAGCAGGTAATTCTATTAGTTCAGTCGTTCACTCTATAGTTAATGGTAAACAGCTCTTAAAATTAGAAAATGCATGAAAAGTATTTTGATTTAACTGACGTCTGATAGTATCCATTAAACATTTCCCTTTGTTCATATTGTAGGCTTTTCTATTCATATTCTACCGGCTGATACAATTGCATTTATTAAAATTTGCTACTGTAAATGTTTGCTTTTGTTGTTCCCAAGCATTGCTGGGCTCATTTGTAAAAATTATAATTGGTGGTGAATAGACACGAATTAATGTTGGGTGTACTTAGGATTGTCTCCCAATATCGTCTCCAGGTGCATGCTTCCACAGAACAATTACCAATTACAAAGTGCATCACTATTTATTCGACCTGACATTCATGTCAGCAATTGCAGCAGAATAATGCGTATGAAGAAATGTATCTCCGTATCATTCCCTTTTTAACTCTGGTACTGATTCTTCCTGTCACCTACAGTGTTATGAATATTCTTAGTTATTATTTTAAGCTTTATTCCATTTACCTATATAATATTAAATACTGTAATACAACAATCTTATCTCAGGTCAAAGTACTCCTCCTAGGAGCTGGAGAAAGTGGCAAAAGTACTTTTCTTAAACAGATGAGAATTATACATGGATCGGTTAGTTCTGTTTCAAGATATTGTTAGAAGTGTTACTCCTAAGGAAAGTGTCCCCATTTGCACTATCTGCTCTGCTCTGCTACCTGTAACTATTTGAGTGGCAGTGCAAATGAACACAAGTACCAGCTCTGAGAAAGAGTGAGAATGGAATGTGTGGAATGAGGTTTTCATTACATATTTTATTATTACAGGGCTACGAAAGAGAGGAACTGATAATGTGCAAAGTGCCCATACTTCATAACATCGTACGGAACATCAAAACACTCCTCCAAGGAAGACAACTTTTAGGTGAGAGAAATCTACAGAGCTCTTTAATTAATAGTGTATATTTTATATAAGGAGAATCCGTACATGTTGGTGTGTGTACTCTGTGAGATAGTTTTTGTTACTGTGTATATATCACAAGGGTAGATCACATCTACATACAACATTCCAGTTTCCAGTACCTTTGTATCTCATCTTTTATCGTAACATGGACCATGTGTCACAGTTAATGTCACACTACCATTTACCAATGATGCAGATTGTTGCAGCGCGGTGTAATTAACATTAATCAATGTTGTGGGTGTTAACTACTAGTTCCATTTCACTTTCACACCTGTACATCTACACACACACATGTGCATACTGTATACACACTGAATACATAGCTTACATGCACATACGTGTACACACATACGTACACACACATCGTATACACATTAAAATACACTCTAAAATACACGCTAAAATACACACACACACACACACACACACACACACACACACACACACACACACACACACACACACACACACACACACACACACACACACACACACACACACACACACACACACACACACACACACACACACACACACACACACACACACACACACACACACACACACACACACACACACACACACACACACACACACACACACACACACACACACACACACACACACACACACACACACACACACACACACACACACACACACACACACACACACACACACACACACACACACACACACACACACACACACACACACACACACACACACACACACACACACACACACACACACACACACACACACACACACACACACACACACACACACACACACACACACACACACACACACACACACACACACACACACACACACACACACACACACACACACACACACACACACACACACACACACACACACACACACACACACACACACACACACACACACACACACACACACACACACACACACACACACACACACACACACACACACACACACACACGCACACACACACACACACACACACGCACACAGACTGCATTAAAGCACACATACGTACTGCTCCTAATAACACTTGCTATATATAAGTAGTAGTGTGTAATTCTGAGCGCTGCTGGCTTAATTGCTACGATAATTCCTACACAAGCTCGTGTCCGCAAATATTCTTATAAGATATACATTTTAATTGTGTCCGGTAAAGTATAAATGGGATGGAATCTGGTCACATGTGACTTTGTGTCGGAGATTCTGTGACAAATAATTTTGGGAAATCACAAATATGATTGGAGGACGTGTTTAAGGACCACTCAATTTCGGAAAGTGCTTTAATGAAATGACGAAGATTAAAATTAAATTAATTGGGCTAAGGATTAAAAACCTTTTTATTCATACAACTAATATATATAATATATCATCTGTTATAGAATGTTGCCTTTGTGAAATTGTAACAGTGAATCATGCTATATACAAAATCAAATATAAAGCACTAAGATTCAGACATAAGAATTTGATTTAACTCGTATGTGTCCGAAAGTCTGTAGTGTTTTGAATTGTTGACAATGTGTGTTATATAACGCACGATGAATTAGTTTGCAAAGTAAAACGCCTCTATAGATCAGAGTATATCTCCGTACCGGATACCAACTAGGCTACTGCAGTGTGAACTGTGAATGACATGGCCATTAGAATCCTTAGAAATATATAATGATTCATAAAAATAATTGATACAGTAACTTAATACCTATACTAGTACTTTCCAAAATAGAAAGTTTAAGGCTAATAAGTGCCGAAATGTCGATTATTTTTACTTAGTTTCAAACATTTATTTGCCTTGTTTTACTTCGTGTGTCGACGTGATGCTTCCTACTAGACGCTACTGTTTTATTCCCAAATTTGAGATAAACGTTTTATTCATACTGCATACATATTATATCATACTTTAAATAACACCTTAGTTGCAATAAGTGATTTGTAATTGTATCGAGATTGTGATAAACTCGTAAACCGTCGCGGGGCCCCTATTCTCAACAACATTAAGAAAATCCTCGAGTACTTCTAGTTCTCTCTAGAACGTTGTAAGTGTCGTCGAATTACGCACGCCGTATTTGACACGCATATACTCAGTGTGCACATGTACATAACTTGACAGAATATGTAATATTGTACACACTGTTTGGTCGTGTGTTGCAAAACAACAACGTAACTTTATATTATGAGATCTCAGTGTGTAATGTTGTACAAATTATATATCTGTTCATGTTGTAGTATTGTACAAGCTGATTCGTTGTGTACTTTATATAGTGCCTAGTAGCTCTGGCTGGAGAGATATGTGTGTTTAACAGGTGTCTGCTATACTTAGAACGTTATTATTGTGTCCCGTGCTGTGACAAGTCCGTGTTAAACATAAGTTAAGGTTAAGTGAACGTTTGGTGGAGAGTGGCTGTGCATATTTTAAATGATGGGTTGTACGTGTTTTAATACATGTGGACGGCTGGACGTGGCTCCAACTTTTCTTAACTGTCCTGTGGCAGATGAAAACATATAATTGAATGGTTTTAAACACATTTTACCGATTACATAATATGAGATGTTGTTAATTATTGGTCGAGTTTAATAATGTATTGTATTTGCAGATATCCCCTGGAGAGACGAGGATCTAGAGGATGCTAGCCAACTGTTAATGGACTACAGCGCTAAGGTACTTACATTTTACAGCCCTTTTCTCCATTCGTTGTAAAACAGTCTGTAGAACCCTAACCCTACTACAGCGCTAAGGTACTTACATTTTACAGCCCTCCCCTTTTCTCCATTCGTTGTAAAACAGTCTGTAGAACCGTACTACAGCGCTAAGGTACTTACATTTTACAGCCCTCCCCCTTTTCTCCATTCGTTGTAAAACAGTCTGTAGAACCGTACTACAGCGCTAAGGTACTTACATTTTACAGCCCTCCCCCTTTTCTCCATTCGTTGTAAAACAGTCTGTAGAACCGTACTACAGCGCTAAGGTACTTACATTTTACAGCCCTCCCCCTTCTCTTCATTCGTTGTAAAACAGTCTGTAGAACTCTAACCCTTACTCAAAGTTGTTGAAGCTGTCTACCCCTAATTAAATAAAATAAGATACCCACCCATAAATTGCTTTAAACAGCTCATTAAACATTGGGAAATGGGCAAATTATACCCACTATTTAGTAGGGGTTTTGTTTTCAATGTAGTCGAATTAGATACAAATTAAAAAGTTACAAAAACAGGAAAAAATTTCATAAAAACCCAAAAAACTCAAAAAATCCTCAAAACCCATCCCCAAAATTGAAATTTGAGGCAAAATCGGTTTTTAACTGTTTTTCTGGGAAAATAATGACCCACCCCCAAACGTCACGTACGGTACTGACTGTATGATCCCCCCCCCCCGCCAGTCGGGCTTCTTGGACACTGCCACCACATTTGGGAGGTACATGCTCGGGCAATTAGTGTTAGAACAGGCTTACATGATATCCTTGTCGGTACTTACCAAATTTGCTAATTTTACTACTGGGGTCCATTTAGAATGTATTCATCATGTTGCACAATGTTGCGCACAGTGTTGCACAATGTGTTCCTCGCAATCAGGTCCAAATTCTGCAGCACTATCTCTGACACAGTGCAGTGTGGTGTTCAACTAATTACTTGTGATGTCGTACTAGAATAATTTGAATGTTTTTGGAAAATGGGTGGGGCTGGGTTGACAACGCTTATATAACATATTGGATGAGGTAACTACTGTAAACTTGATTAATTATACTATACTGGAATAAGATCCAGCGTGAGACATTCTATTTTTATCTTCAAAGCAAATGATATTAATGAACTAGGTGCTCGCTTGTGCTGACTGCTGGTGCACTTGAGTTATATAAACCCGTAAATTCTCTGCTCCTTTCGAGACAGTGTATTACCGTGAGACACACTCGTGACTTAGCCATGAAAAGTCTAACCAGCACAGCTTATCATATCATGATATTTAAATCAAAGATTTGAAAGCTCACGCCCGGCCTTACATGATCTATAAATCGCACGATTTGGCTACCTCAAACTTGTAATACTCCCCACTTGTACCAGGTACCTCTGAAACTGCTTTACCCCGCTTAATGAAATACATTAACTTTATAAACAAAAGAGCAATAACGTTTTTGAGCCACGAACTCCACAAGAAAGCTCATTGTGCACACAGCACATCTTAGCTCTAAGAAAACTAATCGGTGTACTTCTATTGTTACGGCCGCGTGTAAAACACTCGGAAAAGAAAGATTAGGAAAATATCATGCGTCAAAACTGGTTACACTAATGCAAATGGTCTGTATTTGTTCTGCCACGTGACAGCAATTCTGGGGTTTGGTTTTTTACCATTGTCATGGGGTGATAGATCTTGTCATAAAACACAGCTTCTCGAACTCGAACTTTATTCCCAAACTTTGACTTGTTACTTTTCAGACGGAATTGGATGCCAAAATATTCGAGTCCGAGTATTACCAGTTGACTAGAAAATTGTGGCACGATGTTACAATTAAAGAAGTCTTCTCAAGACGTCGTGAACTGCAGCTGGTAAGTTTCTTCGCCCTTTGTAAATGAACTTGATGTAAACGTCAAATGGGGTAAAATAATCGTAATTAATTAGAAGGAAAAAAAAAACGTTTAATTAGGATATTTTTTCTCAACGTTCAGTACACTAGTGTGGTCTTCAGAACTTTCCACTACGCAAGGCTTTAAATTGCTATACGTGAATCAGTAAATTGTGTACCATTACTCTTACTATAAATATTATAGTATTACTATAATGTACATTATAGTAATACTACAATGCTGGTACCGCCCGCGCCCCGCCTTCTGATCCTTCTAACAATAGGCATAGACTCGGTCGGTTTCCAAACATTTTTGAATGCTTTGATTTTTCCATCTTACTCCCTCCATCTGGTTTCATTTTATTTTGAAATTATGCCATCTAATGGTTATTCCAACAATACATTATATTATGGTATTTCAAATGAAAATATCCCTAGAAATGGCATTACCACCAGTTAAAACGTCACGATTTAAAGTTTCAGCCCGGCAATCCTAGACTGAATAGTGAATTTACGTAATTCTCCTGTACGTATTAGCTCTCTTATTCCATTCAGCTGAATCGAAATCTGGTTGGCCACAATTTAATCAGCTCCTGAAAGAAGGCGTTCACGCTTGATTGAAATTTAAAGATCTAAAGTAAAAAATTGTAATATGTATAAGATTTTTGGAGCCACTCTGTGTGCGTGATCCATTTAAACGCCTGTAAAAAGATCAGATTGAATTGTACAAATTGGGAGCTGTTCTGATCTCGATTAGATCCTGTTTAATAGGGTGCTAAGCTGTGCCCGATTAACGTTTCAATTTCGGATGAAAACTGAATAACCTCAAAACTGCTTAAATTAATCTGAAGCCATCTGTCAAGTGCCTAAAGTGCAAAATAATCCCTACTGTTAATATCGGGATGATGGATGAATCTTGAGATTCTGCTCGGTAAATGAGTGTTAAATGGAAAATGTCAAATCAAATTTTTGGTTAAATCAAATTCTGACTTGTAGTTCTGACATGATGCAACGGGCACTGCCTTTTATCGACAGAATGTCACCTAAACTTAAAGTAAATAAAAAAGTAAGCTTTGAAAAACCAAACATTTGGTTTATCTATGTTTTAAACACGGTTAACATTAAATTACGGTCAACAATCACAAAATCAAGCATATGATTATATTTAACGGTTTGAGATGAAAGATCTTGTAAGTGGGTCGTGGGATAAAGGATAGTAATATCTTCTTTTATCTCCCGGGGGGGGGGGGGGGGGGGGGGGGGTGATCAAATGGTGAAAAATGGTGAAAAAAAATGGCCCCCTCCTGATATCTCCTGATATCTCTTGGGCAGGTTGTTATAAGATCTTATCTGGGATATTGAATTGAAATCACCAGAGGATTATGTCAGCAGGTGACGTCAGTACTAAGTACTCACCATATCATTTGCAGATGAGATAATGAACTCTGTTCAATCCATCGCTTTTTAATATTACAATTTTGGCAGCTACTTAACACTTGGGCAATTCCACCGTGACGGACACCACGATTATGCCATTTTTTAAAGTTCAAACGAATGTTGTACTCAGGATGTTGCTTCTTTATCAGCTTAAACTATTTATTAGTCCACATTTAACCTTTCTATAGGTTGTGTGAAAATTTCAGACCCCTACCATTATTACTTTCTGAGATAGCACCCCTGTGACGGACGCGACTTAAATATGACACTTTTTTGGGTGTCTACTCAGAAGGTACCCAAATCTATCTCAAAACGTTATCTATTATCTCTAATTTGGACATGCAGTGATAGAAAAAGGTTTAGGGATTTCTGAGATACCATTTTTTTGGAGATTGCTCAGTTTTTGTTTGCGTGGCGCCATTTTCAAATTGTGACGGACGTGACTGTGACGGACACACGTTTTTTTTCAATTTCTCCAAATCTTCTATTTGACACTTTTATCTTGTTCAGTGACCTTCATTCTATATTTATGCCAATTTTTAGGCCGCTAGTACTTCCACGAGGTCTGCAATAGCCAAAATCGTCCATTTTGGGCATACGCAAGGGGATAAATCTAGGGGCAGCAATTATTTCTCTACTTGAACAAATTTATAACTCTGGTAAAACATTCATCTCTGTTCAACACATCACACTGTTGAGACCATCTCCCAAAAGTTTCATTACTTTAGTGTTTAAAATGTGGAAGATATTGAATTTTTACTTCAAAAATATGCGAAAATAGGGTAAAGTCCATTTTTTGTGCCTTTTACCCCTGAAAAAGGTTAAGGCAAATAAAATGGCAAAACTCAGTAAATTTAATTATTGAATTGCATATGATGTTATTTGATAGTCTAGTCAACATAGTCAAACCTTATTTGACTTCAATTTGTCTTGGTTTTAGTCAAAATAATGGAAATATGGATAAAAATGGCTAAAAGTGAGCCGTACGCCCATATATGGGCATATACAAAATTATACATAACTCAGTCATTTTCTGTCCACTTTTCGATTTGACAACATCGTTTTGTTAAGAACGGTCTCAGCTTTAACAAAAATGCATTTAAAGTCTGTTAAAAGATTTTTTGGAGCATTTTCAAAAAAATGTGACAGACGCGACAAGTTGGGACCCCCCTTCCAAAAATTTTTTCTTCAAAGATACAAGCCTGATAATTTCTACGGTACTCCCTTACCTTCAGAAGAGATAGGTTACAGTAGTTTTTTGAATATAAATAGCACTATGTGGCTCTGAAAAAACTTTTTTGCTTAATTTTGTGACGGATGCGACACCATCTTTGTGGAAATTTTTTAGAAAAATTATTTGAGTAACGGTTTTGAAACTTTGCATGGCTCTCATTCTTATGCCTATGCTTAAGTGTATGGAATTTCATAGAGAAATATTCCTGCATACCCAAACTATGGCCCTTTGAAAATTTGAATGATTTTTTTCATTTCCGAGTAGTGTTCCTTTGAATGAGAAAAATCAAAAGTTAATGCAATATGAAACAAAAAACTTTTGTTGACCTGTAAGGTTAAGAGTCTAATGAACATATTTTAACCAAAATTAGGTGCCTATCTTAACATTTTTCATTTTCACCAAGTGGAACCTTACCGTGGAATTGCCCACTTGACAAGAAAATCGCTTCAGGGCTGCTCAGTCTATCATTTTTAAACTAAGAATTTTAAACTGCTACTATGTGCCACTACTGACTAGTTGGGCGAGCAGCTAATAGAACAGAGAACCCCCTCTACTCAGGGTTCAAATTGAACACGATGCGGTGTCGAACACGGCTTTGATCTTTCAATGTACAAACGAAACTCATTACACTCTTTTCCTGGCAATTTTACAGAAATTTTATACACTTCTCTGCTGTTCACCAGGCCTTCGCTTCAGTGGCTTCCTTAGTTTTAACCAGGGTAAAAGTTACATGAGAACCCTCTATGTCTTCCTAAAATCATGCATATTACCTGACGCTATGTAGAAATACTATTAAATTATATGCTCTTTGGAATACCAAAGAATACTAATTGTAATACTGTACAAATTATCAAGTATAACATTCTGTGTGACAGGTGAGTGCTAATTGGTCGAAATTGACGAGAGCTACATTTTGACACGTCTCGGTGATATCACGTGATTGTATGTAGACTCTCGACTGAGAATTTTGCGCTGTTTCTTAGGATACAAAACGCACGACCCTTGCGGGAAATTATCGGTTACCAGTGTTCACGAATTTTCGGGGATATAATTCCTGGAAAGAATTATAATTGTAGAAGTAGTTGAGACACTAAAACCACTAGTTTAACTTCTTAACTGCCGAGCAACTGGAGCTCAGTTTCAGAGACAGGCTGGTATTTTCCAATTTCCAACATGATATAATATGTCAGGAATGCTATAATGCTATATTTTCAATCACCTTTTGGCTTTTACCCAACCAGATTTTCGAACTTCTACCATTTAACGGCTTAGTGGCTCAGTTGGTAAATCGGCCTCGCATTTCTCGAGGTACCAGGTTCGATTCCCGACTCTGTCACTAGCCGTGGATTGAGCGTTGTCGACGCTCAGCTAAGGATCCTAAGTTGTCTATGCAGCCCCCCGGTCCACTCAACCGAATACTCGAGAAATTGGGTGTCAGGATTAAATGAGGAGCTGCCCATTGCAGCAAAGTCTCGGGCGAAGAAAGTATGGTACACACTACCTTAACCGTCACAGGTCTAATGTATAATTGAATCCTTCGGCTTCCTGTAATTGGCTGGTTACACTTGTGCTACAATGTGGCTGTTGGAATGTCCGAAGTAAAATAAGTGTTGAGATTTAAAAAATAAATAAATAAATAAATTCTAACATTTATTACACGCTTCGACATTAAAATATAACCCAACAAAGATGTACATTTAAGTCATTCAAGCGAGACTTAGTGTTGAAATATCAAGATTTTGGAATTCTTTATCAGTTCAGATTTTATGGAAAATTATCTGTATGAAGTTACCAAAATTATGCACTTTCATATCAGCTCAGACATTATAGACAAACATTAGGAATATCATCAAAAGCTAGGTGGAAATAAAATGTCTAGGGCATTTTTAAAACATTCTACAGATGATAATGATCTCACTGAGTAGAGTAGTTCATTCCAAATTTTTGGTCCACAAAACATAAATGTAGCATCTGTTCGTCTGACGTTAGTGGTAAGGAATTTTCAACAAATAAAAGTCATCATCTAGTCTGGAACTTCGTCTTCGTACTTCTCTTAGATTTAATTAACTATATCAAATTATATTGAAACACATTCCGTATTATAATTATAAAAGACTCATTTATAAAAGACTCATTCAAGCAGTAAAATTCCATTTTACTGTTTAAATGTTTATACTGTTATTTTATTTTACTGTTTAATAACTCCTCAAATCCATTAAGTCAAAAATTAATTTAATAAATTAATTTATCAATTGGTGAATAACCTCTTTAAATAACGACTGTTTACAGGCCCACTCACCTTCGACTATCGGGTAACAGCTCTTTAGTCTTCCGCTTCAAACTGCTGTTTTAATTTGGGAAATTCTTACAGGCCCAGCATAAAATATTACGCTACTTTACGCTTGTTCTCTGTTCTTAAAATATTTTATATTTTAAATATCAACGTTCTCAATCATGATTTTAATGAAATTGAAGTCGGCGGTTTTTGTGTTTAAATATCATAATTCGTTGTGCCAAATGATATTCAGCTCTGGTCCCCATAACATATTGGCAACGCAGAGCTGCCAAAATGTTGTAAATGTTGTAGAGTCAGATTATTTAAATTCAACACTCCTTAAAAATTCTTTGTACAATTCACTAAATAAGTTGGTATCCAAATATTATATAAAGGCGTACACACCATGATTCGAATTCCAGATTAACATTCCTGCTCATATATTATGTAGTATATACCCACACATATAACAACATTTTGCGATATTGATATGTTGATGTATCTCTGATACAATTAACACTAGAAGATCTACTGTAACGACTAAAGCTCTCCTAATATAACGCGGAGAGAATCCATCTGACAGTGTAATTACGGTACAAACTACTCGACCTGTGCAACTTCAGTTAAGTTATGTATCAGGTCTCTAGATCCATCATTGTCACCAGATCATTGATAACTTTCAGTTTAAATTGGGGTCTTGACCATTTTCAAAACATTGGGCCTTGGGGAGAGGAAGGAGACATGTCAGGTACGTAGTTTTGCTAGATAGCAAAAATTGAGAAAGGAGCAAATATGACATTATTTTCCAAATTTTCTCCATTTCCGAGAAATTCCGAAAAAAAAGGCACTGATGAAAAAGGCTGCGTTCCCAACCGCCCCAAACTACTAATATGATCACACAAATGGGTGTTCCCTGATATTGATAGTAAGTAGAGACATGTTGTGTGCGAGTAAACAGTAATGATAAGCTCCTAGCAGATAGATCTCCCTGGTAACGCCTTTACACTACCCACTATCTGAAACACATGTGTGTGTACCAACCCTTGTATACTGTATAGATATACCCTAGATATGTATCTAGATCAACCAGCGTAGTACATGTGTGTACTTGTATCTGTATCATGACCTCATGTTATTATTATATATTTAGAACGTCGTACACGTGTATCATGCTCATGTTATATACATTTTATCACGTTATAATTGTTTAGATAGTTCTAGATATAATCTCAATTCTGAGGGGAATGTAATACACTCAGTTTTTAAAATGTGAAACTCGCTTTAAGAAACCTGTGTACAAAATCAAATATTTTCTATGTGCTAAATCAGGAATTATTCGTGTGATAAAAAACTGAGTGTATTTCACTTGCTGTTCGCTTCTTTTATTGCTTCTAAAATTTTGTTGAAATTACTGAAACATTCCAAGAGATATTTCACTTTGCTAGTACATAACTACAGGGAGATTTCACTTGCTTCACATTGTGACATTGTTTAATCATATTGTTTGGTCATTCGTGCAATATTCTGGCTTCAAGACATCATATAAGTCAGGTAATACTAAGTCCTCACTGTAAAACCGCAAGAAACCAGTCGTGCTCTGTGGATTTTATATATGTGGCCTGATCTTAGATCCAGATCTTAACGAACAGTAGACCGCAATCAATGAGAGGTGTATAATTGTAATGAAGAGTTATCAATGATGGCAAGTTGGGATGATGAAAAGTGCGTAAAACGAAGTCAATGAAAATAAAATATACATACAAGAAGTTCGGGAAGTTGGGTATCCGTCGATCGTCGCTTAAGGGTCGCTTAACTGACCATTATGTCTTAAATAACCCTTAACTGACCATTAAGTGACATTTGAGTGACCATCAACGGATTACAAAGTTGCCACAAGTTCTTATAGAGGTATGCACTCTGCAGATAGTTCTCAAATGTGGACATTTTGTTAATTTCGGACCACCATTATTACCTGAGTCCTGGCGTCAAGGTTGGGATGATTATGAGATAATTTAAGTGATTAATACCAGGGTTTACCAATATCTCTCAGTAATTGGAATGTGAATTGTGTATGAATCATAGTACTAGAGTTATCCCAAATCTAAGCTTTAGAATTTACCAGATTTCTATCAGAGATCGTGTTTTAGTTAAGTGTTTATGTAGTTATTTTTAAATTATTCAAGTTTTATGTTAAGGTGTAGTTTTAAAAGGTTCGTACTTCTAATCGAACCTCGCCCACCTTGCCCATTGCCCAACCTTAAAACCCACTTAAGTCTCAACTACAATGTTGTAATATTCTATTAATATCCTCTACTTTGGGGAGTTCAAAGTGCTGTTCAGCGTGAAGTTCGGATTATGCCGAATTATGCAATAATATGCAGCAATAGCAGCAAATCTGGGGAAACTTTGAAATACACCAATTTGAAGCATTTAACCCCCCCTTAAAAATCAAAGATTATGAATTTTAGTAATCTGATTATTTACATAGGTCCAAAAATGTCATAGCTTCATGATAGTGCAACGAAAAAAATCTCAGAACATTTTGGTGCTGAGTTAGGTGGTTAAGTAGTCGAAAAATGACTGATTTGTTAGTGGACATTTTTTATACCTCTAACACCCAAACCCTTACTACAGTGAAGATATAAGTACTACAGTTAATATTGATGGTCATTATTGAACAAAAATGGTTCATTGACACATAGTTGAAGAAGGAAATTAAAAAAATTAATAAATGTGGTCTGTGGAGTGGTTTATTTGTTTATGTTATAGTGTACGCGTGCGCGCGCTAGCGCGTACTTAACCATCTGTAGGCCAACATATTTAGTCTAGGCTTAAATTCTTTATATATTATGTCACCACTATGGTGCCCAATACTTTTAGTGAAGGTTTGATGTAGAACAGTTAACCACCAACTGTGGTATATCAAAAAAACCATGTTTGTACGCGTGCGCGCGCGCTAGCGCGTACTTAACCACCTGGTATGGCACAGCATTGAGTTATCACCATAATTCCAAAAGCAGAAGAGACCATCCAGGTGCCCAAAACTTTTGACTATGGTCCCAATACCATAAAACCTTAGATGTGGCCTCAATGTGGTTAAAACATGTTTATTTTGGACTTTCGGTCAACAGAAGCCATCACAAATTAACCATTATTCAGCAACCTCCGAACTTTTAGTGCCTTATTTTGTTTTGATATTTGATTATGAGAGATAGCTGGAGGATAATAAGTGATTTTAAAGATAATGCAACAAAATGTGTGGCCGTATGGTGGTTAAAACGACCAAAAACACTGATTTTGGTCAATTTTAGACCTTTATTAACCATGATGGACGCAACATAGGACTCAGCAATGTTTCTGGTCATATAAATGAGCAGGTAGTTATATCTAGATAATGTAGCATGGCCAGCTATAGCTTTACAAAGCTAATATGTCAGTTATTTAGAATATATATATATTATATATTCTAAATAACTGATAAATGATATTCCACACAAAGCATGAAATTGTGCTGTATATGAGTGGTGATCTCGCTCTGAGAATCAGGGTCAGTAGCTCAATTGGTAGAGCAAGAGACGCGAAATCTCGAGGTTCTGGGATCATTCCCCAGTTGTCCCTAGTTTTTCAGAGTTAATCATCACATATAGACAGCATGAGAGTAGGCCTGGCCATCTCGAAGTGATAAAGCTAATATGTGCTCTAAAAATGGTTAATTAGTGCAAATATAGGGTATTTTCGAGACATTTTAACCACCATAGCTGCACATTGATCATAATGCATGAACTTGGGGTCAATTATGGATTTGCAAACAAATATACACTCATTTGGATAGCAAACCATTATCTGAAGTTCATATTGTGGTTAATTTTCACTTTAATAGATGCCTTGTTCAACAGCCTAGCAAGTAATATAGCCCTTTTAGCCACTTTTATGACAACATTTCTTGATAACTTTTATCAAGACCCTTCAAATGTCCTTTGTTGACCATAAAATGTTGACTAAAATCATTAATAATGTTTTGATTGGTGGTTAACAACAAATTTTGACATTTTAACCATCTTTTTAGCACTTTTTACGAATATTAACCACCTCAAATCAACCATACTATTAAATTGCACATTTGTGATAAAAAATTATCATCCATGCACAAATGAACAACCACCACTATACATCTATAATCCGAGCAATATTTATAGCTCACCGTTCATCTTCAATTTAACCACCATTAGGACCACAAAATGCCCCCCATGAGGTTTGAAAACTTTTGTGATAGTTGCACCATGATATGATCTCAATATAATGACTACTCAGTTCATAATATCACATCTCAAAATGGTGGTTAACCCTAAAACTGGTATTTTAACCACCATAGTGGCCACATAGATGACCCATTAACCACAATTATTCAACATAACCGTACTGCAGTGTTTTGTGCACCAGAAAAACATCACTCCAACATTGAGATTAACCACAATGAGCTGCAACATAATGTTGAAGTCAACATACTCAAATTGTGTGAAAAAAGTCAATGTCCACCAAGTTTCCCCAGATTTGCTGCTATTGCTGTATGTGGTTGAACTATCAAGTAATCAGCTGATTCGGTTGAACTATCAAGTAATCAGGTGATTCGGATAAACTGTCAAAATAAACTCCGAATTTGAAAATATTTTATGTATAATATAATGTTAAACTCGAAAACTGAATCAGACGAATATCTAGTAACTTAGGAATTAATGTTCACCTCGCAATACATAGTAAATGTTGAAGCACTAGCCACTAAGTCATGTTACGTTATATTAGAAAGTATCTCAATTAAAGCCAATCCTTTACTCTTCAGCTTATTAGTTAATTGCTGCTAATTCGATTCGATGCGTTGTTGGCTTGTTTTTTATCTTACTTTCAAATCCCTATACTTTGTAATGATACTTCTTAAAAACTTATTGACGTTATTTATTTGACTCTTATTTCAGAACGATAACGCTGAATACTTCTTCGATAATTTGGATCGCCTCTCGGATCAAGTAAGTACTATATTTTAAAACTTGTACTTACTTTACTAAGTTAAGTAAGTATATTAAAACGGTGGGCAGAGTTTTAAAAGGTATGCAGGGTTTTCATTATGATTGTATTTCTACTGAAAAGTACAGAAACTATCATTGTGAAAACCACGCCCCATCTCACAGCTTATCACAGTCCAATGTTTATATAAAGTTACAAAGTCGTTGTTACATGTTGTAATTCGAGCGGTTGTACACGTGAAGTGAACTGTGAATTAAGTTGTTGTTGTGCACGATTTTCTGTACTTGTTTCTACTAGTACACTTCTATCTTTATTACTACATACCTGCTTTTCGTTGGTTAGTCCATTATATAGTTAAATGTGGATAATAGACTTAAGATATTTTTTGATCAAAAGGTGAAAAAAACACATCATATGAATATACTGAAGAATGAACTCTAGAATATCACCCCTGAAAAATTACGCAACTTTACTAAAGAGGCAATACTTGAAAATTGGCTTCTTACATGACAGTTGCGCTCCACGCCTTTGGGTACCCAGTAGTGACCAATATTCATTATCCTCCTCAGAACAATAGTTAGATTCCAGACATTAAGTACAAACCGCACCCCTCATAATACATGCCACGTAAAGGTGCTGCAGTCTCTCTCTCCAGTTTGTAAAGTAAATGAATATTCCTTACAAGAATAGGATTCAAGTTCTTTGTTACTGCTTGAGCAATTAGCACTTAGACAATCTTTGGTATATTGATTATAGGTAACAACGCAGTCTGTTTTAGGGCAAAGAATTGGAAATCAAATTATTTCTGGGCAACACCATTGGTAAACGTAAATAGATATTACGATAAGGCTTTTAAAACGTTTTGTGACAAATTGATCGCAAGCTTTCATTCGTGACGCAGGAGGATGTCACTCCTTAAAGAGCTGAGGATGTCACTTCTTAAATATCTGGTCTCAATTCAATGGATAGCTATGAGGCGGTCAAGTTTACAATATTTAACACGTACCATCCAGCCTGTTATACAGTCAAGGTGTTCCACTTTACAAAAATTACAACAACCTTCGTTTAGATAAAAAGTATTTTCCAACATGTTTTCCTAGCATGCAATTGGGGGTTGCTTCCAATGAGTTAGTCGGCAGTGTAGTTAACTAAACTAATTTCAAGCCCAATGAAATCAACCAAATGGTAAAGCAGCGGTATTTTGTGCTGACGTTGGTATAGTGTTCACTGTTCAGTAGTTTCTGGACAATTATGGAATGCCAGAAATGTGGGGCACGTCGATTCGAATATAATTAGAAGGTTTAAAGCTTAGCTTATAAGGGTGATATGTCTGTATTTTCAGTTTTATTACATCAGTACAACCTCGGAAGCCCGGCAGTGACATCGATCTCGTGTTCTCAATAGTAAAAACATCACAGATAATTCTTCTCACTGATCTTTGCACCCGATATATTTATACAAAACGAACTCTTAACTTACGCTTCTAATTAATATTCAATATGTTATTCCATGCTTTGAAACAACATAAATATTTGAATTTCGTGCACATTCGCCCGCTAATATATTTGTAAGCTTTAAAACCGAACTAAAACTTAGTGCATTGATTATACTCCTTCGACATAAATGTAGATGTCTGGAGTAACGGAGTACAGTACTTAGAAATAATTCAAATTGACATAATTTTACCTCTTAAAAAACCTTTTAAAACTTTAAAAGCATTCCTGTTTAAAAGTCAGGTTCTGCTATTGGATTTATCCAACGTTTTTAAGGCTTTCAGGCTTACAGCTAATTAACCTGTCGATTTCTGGAGAACTATTTCGAGTCCCTGCTTGTATTTAATTTCCACTTTAGGAATCGTAAAACCATTTTTCGGTAATTTGGACTCCCTTTCTCCGTGAGCCACTATAGCTATTGTAACATTATTATTGTAAGCTTTTTCAAGCCGTCTCCCCTCATACACTATATTACGTAAAAACTAATATAATATGTAAACGAGCAGTTTTACTGAGAAAGAAACAAGATGTTTAAATAAAAGTGTACCTTGTGCCGTTTTTAACACTTCTTTTATTGAAACACACCGAGTAACGGAGAGGGAGTTCTAGACTGTTCCACAGCTATCAGATTACATACAGATAAATAAAACATACGTCATGGGTACTAGGTACCCCGGCCCCCGCCTGTTCAGCTGTTCTGTGGAATCTTTTTAAAAGTTCCAGGAACATTTGTTGACATTATCGGGACATGGACCACTTGTTTCTCATGTAGGCCCACATTCTACATTCTACATTCTCCATTCTAGGTAGCAGTCTTTTAGTTGGATATTTTGACACTTTGTAAAACTTTCTAAGTAGGAGTTGAAGTGGAGTTGTTGAAGTAGTGATAATGTAAACTTCCTGAATAGAAGCTGATGTACTCACAAACTTTCAAGAAACACTAATAACATTATAACTACTTTCATGAAATATTCATAACTGAGTACACATTATCTTCAAAATACATATCCGCATATAGCCGCATATTTCTATCTTCCAGTAACAGTGCAGGACCTAGTTTTTCTTTTACTGCTGATAAGTTTATATAATAACATTCCCAATTATGAGTGTTAGTAAGGTAGGTGTACTGTTACACTGTTCTGAGTGTTCATTAATACCGTGCTCATTTTAGACCAATGTTTCGGCTGGATTCCTTTTGAGGGGCGAGAAAAACAGTAGACGTGTCACAGATCTAGTGTAATAACAAGTGTAATGTTTTGGGTGTTGTACTTTTAGTGTTGTCAAAATATAACATAGGTACCTGTTTATACATAACCACTCTAACGCCAGCCTGTACATTCTTTAGTAACGAAATGTGTTCCCCAGAAATTTGTTCATCCTTCTTTGTAACCAAAAGCGGTAGGCTTTGTTGTGTGAATAATGTGAGCAAATCAACGAAGGTACCGATGGTGTGATGATACTTAGCTAATTTTGCATACTATGTTTTACTTTTTGATAAGCATTAAACATGTGCATATCATAATATGTCATGAAGTGTGTAAACTAGGCTGCATTTTCCCAAGAATCTGACGGCCACCCAGTAGTATCCTGGTCCACTAAAATCATTAAGCAGACTTGGGTAGTTGTACACTGTAATATTATATCAACACTAGTAAATCTAATATACATTTATTGTTACTACATATATAGTAGCGGCATTTAACTTAAATAATGCTAAAAAATGCTGCTTGGAAAATGGGAGTGGCGTGTTTTTAACCGCGGTCCTGCGTAAACACATATTATTATTATATGCGTAATTTACAGCTGTGAACAGAAATGTTTTTTATCCGTCACATAAATTTAAATTTGAGTGATTTTATAAAAATAAATCCGCTGATACCACTACTTAAAATCTCATGTGTGTAACTGGAAGAGATGTTTTGTGATTTATCATACGCAGACTTAGCAGCTGAGTTACATAATAAATCATTGTTACGGGACTTAGCAATCAGCTCCATCAAGCTACAGTTTATATGGCAGTAGCAATCAGCTCCATCAAGCTACAGTTTATATTGCAGTAGCAATCAGCTCCATCAAGCTACAGTTTATATGGCAGTAGCAATCAGCTCCATCAAGCTACAGTTTATATAGCAGTAGCAATCAGCTCCATCAAGCTACAGTTTATATGGCAGTAGCAATCAGCTCCATCAAGCTACAGTTTATATGGCAGTAGCAATCAGCTCCATCAAGCTACAGTTTATATAGCAGTAGCAATCAGCTCCATCAAGCTACAGTTTATATGGCAGTAGCAATCAGCTCCATCAAGCTACAGTTTATATTGCAGTAGCAATCAGCTCCATCAAGCTACAGTTTATATGGCAGTATCAATTAGCTCCATCAAGCTACAGTTTATATTGCAGTAGCAATCAGCTCCATCAAGCTACAGTTTATATGGCAGTAGCAATCAGCTCCATCAAGCTACAGTTTATATGGCAGTAGCAATCAGCTCCATCAAGCTACAGTTTATATTGCAGTAGCAATCAGCTCCATCAAGCTACAGTTTATATGGCAGTAGCAATCAGCTCCATCAAGCTACAGTTTATATAGCAGTAGCAATCAGCTCCATCAAGCTACAGTTTATATGGCAGTAGCAATCAGCTCCATCAAGCTACAGTTTATATTGCAGTAGCAATCAGCTCCATCAAGCTACAGTTTATATGGCAGTATCAATTAGCTCCATCAAGCTACAGTTTATATTGCAGTAGCAATCAGCTCCATCAAGCTACAGTTTATATGGCAGTAGCAATCAGCTCCATCAAGCTACAGTTTATATGGCAGTAGCAATCAGCTCCATCAAGCTACAGTTTATATTGCAGTAGCAATCAGCTCCATCAAGCTACAGTTTATATAGCAGTAGCAATCAGCTCCATCAAGCTACAGTTTATATTGCAGTAGCAATCAGCTTCATCAAGCTACAGTTTATATGGCAGTAGCAATCAGCTCCATCAAGCTACAGTTTATATAGCAGTAGCAATCAGCTCCATCAAGCTACAGTTTATATTGCAGTAGCAATCAGCTTTATCAAGCTACAGTTTATATGGCAGTAGCAATCAGCTTCATCAAGCTACAGTTTATATGGCAGTAGCAATCAGCTCCATCAAGCTACAGTTTATATGGCAGTAGCAATCAGCTCCATCAAGCTACAGTTTATATGGCAGTAGCAATCAGCTCCATCAAGCTACAGTTTATATGGCAGTAGCAATCAGCTCCATCAAGCTACAGTTTATATAGCAGTAGCAATCAGCTCCATCAAGCTACAGTTTATATAGCAGTAGCAATCAGCTCCATCAAGCTACAGTTTATATTGCAGTAGCAATCAGCTCCATCAAGCTACAGTTTATATGGCAGTAGCAATCAGCTCCATCAAGCTACAGTTTATATGGCAGTAGCAATCAGCTCCATCAAGCTACAGTTTATATGGCAGTAGCAATCAGTTCCATCAAGCTACAGTTTATATTGCAGTAGCAATCAGCTCCATCAAGCTACAGTTTATATGGCAGTAGCAATCAGCTCCATCAAGCTACAGTTTATATAGCAGTAGCAATCAGCTCCATCAAGCTACAGTTTATATGGCAGTAGCAGTATCTATTAAATACTGTAGTGCTTCCAACGGTATTGCGGGGCAATATTAACCTTTCTGCGTTATAAGGGATAATTTGGTGGGTTTATTAATAGTTCTTTATAGCTCGAGCCGTTCAACGATATTTTAATTGGAGTCACCTCAGTTGTTCGATGCCTCAATTATATGATATCATTAAAAAATGTGTAGATATGGGGAAAGCAGAGGATGAGTCAGTTGAAAGTTTGAAATTCTAATCAACCAAGGCCCAAAAATTTACCCAATTTTACAAACAAAATATTTAGATGTAAATTGCTCTTGTGAACTTAATGAGTGTTTTCATTTAAATTATCCTCCTGATCCTGTTGAAGTAAACTGTCAATAAAGTTAATACAAAATTTAATGAAACTCAAAAGTATGAACTTTTGCCCACGTGGCAAGTCTCCCTTAACCGAAAATTAATAACATTCTTAAAATAAACACGGTATTTGGAGGATTAAATGATATCAAAATAGGCTTCAGTAAAGATATCGGGGCAGTTCATGAGCGCTTGTCCTATAATGTCCTATGTCAGTATTCAAATAATGCTATTTTTCTGTTTTTAGGTTACTCAAAGGGTATAAAAATTATCATAATCATCTGGAGATGGCTCTTTTAACTACATTACAATGATTTCTATTGTATCTCATACATCAAAGTGAGCCTGTTATCTTGTACGCTTGCTTTATAAGTTGTCACATGTAATAATGTACAGCACAATCAACTCTCAGTTGGCTCCAATATGTGTCATACCTGTTCGATTCTTTCACACACTGGAGCTACCCGCCAATGGTGTTGAACCCCCCAACCCCATGGCCCTCTCCCCACCCCTCTCTCCCCAGTCCCCACCCCTCTCTCCCACCCCTCTCTCCCCACCCCCTCTCTCCCCACCCCTCTCTCCCCACCCCTCTCTCTCCCACCCCTCTCTCCCCACCCCTCTCTCTCCCACCCCTCTCTGCCCGCCCCTCTGCCCGCCCCTCTCTCCCCACCCCTCTCTCCCCACCCCTCTCTCTCCCACCCCTCTCTGCCCGCCCCTCTGCCCGCCCCTCTCTCCCCACCCCTCTCCTCCCACCCCTCTCTCCCCACCCCTCGGCCTTCTCCCCACCCCTCTCTCCACCCCCCCTCTCCCCACCCCTCTCCCCACACTCCCTCTCTCCACACCCCTCTCTCCCACCCCTCTCTCCCACCCCTCTCTCCCCACCCCGGCCCTCTCCCCACCCCTCTCTCCACACCCCCTCTCTCCCCACCCCCTCTCTCCCACCCCTCTCTCCCCACCCCTCTCTCCCCACCCCTCTCTCCCCACCCCTCTTTCCCCCTTCTACACCCCACTATACCCTCCTGCACCCCCACCCCCATAGATTGTTAATAACTTGTAAAAAGTAAGGTAATAATTGTTTATTTATAATCTGTTGATAAGGAAATCCCTTATCAAAAATACGACATTCAAATCTCAAAAGTAAGATATTCAAAGACAGATTTACATTTACTGTATTGTGTACGTTTAAATTTACAAGTATCGGGTTTCCATTATCTCACAATGTACCGAAAACTGGAAGCCAGTATTTTCGTAAACCCCGTATGTTTAAAATAGGTAAGTAGTATATGACAACATGTTAGGTTTCGTTATTCACAAACACATTCATTGTATGAGAATTTCTCTCTCTCTCTAAACATGGATGCCATGGATATTATTATACAGTAGCAGGGGTGTTAAAATATCTTTTCTTTGACTTGCTGGTGACGTCGAGAATTTTAGTTAATTTAGCTCTTTCGGTCTTTCATGGACAAATTACAAAAAATTCATTACCACCCTTTTCGTTTAAGCAGCAGATCTGCAAATCTATTTCGTTTAAGACGTGACTCATTGAAACAATTGACTATATTTAAACGATTCTGCTTTAAAATGACTACGTCACAATATGTTGCAGTGGTTAATTGCACATGCTGCCGCCCCCTCAAAATCCATGTGCTTCCAATATAAAATATTTAAATATCTTGAGAGTTAAGCAGTACTTTCTTCTGCAGTAAAGAAAAAATGCTGTCCATTAGCGTCTATTACAGCACATTCTTTGGTATGTACTAGTGAGTGCTACTTCACTGTACAGTGTACAGGATATCAAGTGTACAGTTTACTGACTGATTGAGTGAAGATTAATGCGCTTAAAAACAGAAATACGTATGCTTTTAAGTAAGTTATCTAATCTGAGTAAGTTATCTACTTTAACTTTACTTGGATTAATCTTGCTAGACTTGAGTTGTGTAAAGGGCGATGAGTTGGTGATAATTGAGGCCACACTTAGGTTTCCAGACACAGCACTCCGTGTTTGTTGTGATTCCTGAAATCTGACCTATGTAGTTCTAATTGAGGATTCCGTGACTCAATAAAATCTGGCATAGTTCCAACTTCCAGCAGTGATTACGAACTTATAAAAACATAATAAAGGTTAGCAGAGTTATTTTCTGGTCAGGCGTGGAAGACGGAAGTGCTAGTTTTGTACCAGCGCCAACATGAAATTTGCAACTATCCTTTGTTGTGATGCTAAGCGATATATAATTTCCATTCATTACAAATGAGTGGCGTACCTTAACAATACAATACGCAGTGATCCAGGAGGCATATCCGGTCGCTTTCACTGTGGGACATTTCCGCAATGACTACTTCGCGACTAGCAAAATTTTGCTACGTTCTCGTTGCGAGTTTTTGCTGTTAGTTTTTAGTGGATTGCGCGCGCCATCGATCTGGTGATCTCCAATATATCTGATGTTACAGTTTTTCCCAAGGATTGCAAGCATTTATTTGTGTTCATAGATGATGATAGATTCTTTTGATTATTATGTCAACAGTGACTTGGTCGCTTTGATATTAATTCAACATTTGGGAACGATTTTATAAAGGTATATCTGCTAAGTCACTTGGATTATGTCCTCTGTTGATCATTATTATTGATAATTATTAATGGTTCAACAGGCGGGATTTATTTTGTCATGTCTCCTAAATGTTAGAGCTGAGAAAGTTAATTATTGGTGATCATTATTTGAGCTTTCGTCTACCATCACTCAACTTATTGTCATGCTGTATCCCTTTATCATCACTTCGTTAATTTGGATCTGCACGGAGCAGAGAGTAATTCGTAATAAGATCGGATTTCGTCTTGCGAGAAGGATTAGATTCGGTAACCGTCACGCTACCTGTACACAGTAGTTTAATGTACTATCCTGTCACAAACATTAATGTCATTAGCTTCTATTTCAAGAAACACGGCCATATATATAGTTTTCTGTTTAGTTGTTATCCAATTGGATCCTGTCCAAGTTTTCCGTTCCCCTCTACATTTTGTGCCAACTCATTACGAAGGCCTGATTGTCAACGCGTACTAAAAGTTAATGTATGTATAACTGTCAGTAATATACAAATGCTCAATATAATGTGTTCTTCCTAATTGAGTTAGTGTCTCAATTGTCATCAGTTATTATGTTTTTTGGGATGATTCACATATAAAGTTAGACAGATTTTGGCCATTATATACCCCTCGCCATTCTCTCTCCAGCTCCCCCTCGCCCTCCGTAATCACTTTTACACTAACTTAGTGATATGTGAGCCTCGTTACAGATAAGGAGTGTTCTTGATGTGAGTCTTCCTCATAACCGACACTGAATTAACCAAATTTGTTTCAGACGAAGCAACCTAATCAACAAGATTTGTTACGATTGAGAAAGAAAACGACCGGAATAAGGGAGGAGGTGTACGAAATCAAAGGTGTGTTAAAAAATAAAATCGTCTTAACTTATATTCGGTATTTCTTTGAAAAAACGATTCACTTTGACTTAAAGTTACACTGCAGTTATATTTTCTAATTCGTGCTTGACTTGAAATCTTATCCTTCTTGCCAAGTAGCGACAAAACCCGGAAATCTCGTATTCAATTTAATTTATCTACTGCGTTTAAATCTGAACAACAATTCTGCCGTTTTCTGACAAATTTGCTTCAAGACCATTTGTGAAATTCCGAATTCTTCAGAAACGATTAGATCGCAGGCTCTCAGAAACCCCCTTTTGAAACGGCTTAAAATACCACACTTGTTGCCTTAAATGTGTCAAAGTGCTTGAAAACCTCAAATTTATGAGTGGTCTTTAAGCATTTTTGTCAGAAAACGGAAGAGTTATACCTGTTCATTACTCTGCTATTTAAAAAATAAAGCGCCCGGTTGTATGAGAATCAAAATTTTAACAGGTTTATGTTAGGTTTATTTTATCGTTCATTTTAACTTTAATAAATTCTATTGAAAATTTGGTGATTACATGATCTGTTTACCAGGCGTGCCGTTTCATATGGTGGACGTCGGAGGACAGCGACTACAGCGACACAAATGGTTCAAATGTTTCGACCAGAGTGTAACTTCAGTATTATTTCTCGTAGCATCATCTGCCTACGATCAGGTCTGTCAAAATTAGGCTTATCTGAAATATAGTAAAGATAATTGTATGCTCTACTTCAAAAGTTCTGAGTACAATAAATGCAAGTATGATGTCTTATTTTTTTTAACTGGACTGCATATCAAAAATCAGTATAATCTCACTGCCTTTTCACCGAGCTGTCTTTGTTCAGGTAATAGTTGAGGACAAGAGAACGCCCCGCTTGGAGGAAAGCTGCAATATCTTCGACACCATCGTAAACAACAAATGCTTCAAAGACGTTTCAATCATTCTCTTTCTTAACAAAACTGATCTGTTGAGGGAAAAGTTGCCACATTCTGACTTTAAGCGGTATTTTCCTCACTTTGGCGGGGACCCTATGGACATCAAGGACGTTCAATGTTTCCTGCTCGACATGTTCGACAACGTGCGCCGAAACCGCGACCGAGCGCTCTTTCACCATTTCACGACGGCCACAGACACAGAAAATATAAAATACGTTTTCGCAGCTGTCAAGGATACCATATTACAGAACAATCTACGACAACTCATGTTGCAGTAGATTATTTAAATGTAATTTTTCATTTACCGAAGAAGGAATTCAATGGATGATAGTTGATGATGAAATATAGCCGTTTGCAAGAGAGATATGATCATGATGTTGTATCGCTGGTGCAGTTTGTTCGCTGGTTTGTTGCTACTTCGTACGGCGTACTCTTGTTTTTAACTAAAACAGGGGCCATTCATTATATTCGATATAGTCTCCTCGTGTATCAAAGTAGGACAATCGTTATATAGGACACTTGTGAAAACGAAAGTGAAACCGAAAGTGAAAGTGATCACAGATATTAGCCACAGCTAATGTCAGGTGTACAGAGCTCAAAGGATACAAACATGGTTCAACTCATTGATATAACTGTGAACAATTTAGTTGCAGGCTAATGATTTTTGATAGATTTTAATGTGTTAAAAACGATTTGTAATTCTATAGAATGTTTGAACAGTATTGTTGTTGATTTTTGGAGCGGCTAGATTTAGACTATTTTGGCGGGTGTTGCTAGGCGGGCGTTGCTTTATTATAAAATCAGCCCATTGGTAGGAAAACGAATGGTCGTGCTTTTCTCTTTTCTAAAACATCGACGTTTAAGTTTTAATAGCTTTGCGTTTGCTCGTAAGCACTGTATCTAAAGCTTAAAAATGGAAATACTGGTTTAAGTATTTCAGTTCACTAAAGCTTAAAAATCGTGCTATCAGTATTTTAGTTCACTTTCCGTTTCATAATTTATTTCATATGATAATTCTGATTTTAAGATTTGATAAATTTATATACTCTTTTTGTTTATGTATAATTAATGGTTTACGGTGTTAAATGCTACAAGTTATCACCTTGTTTGCTGCTGTTGTCATGCACTTGAAAATTCGCCCTTAATAACGTTTCTCGTTTTGATCTTTCACTGAGACTAATAAAAGTCTACAATCCACTGGATAGCTAGCTGCTAGCTATTGAGCTATCAGGTTGACTACACTATTCATGAGTGTTTGAATCATATCTCCACGATCACGAGGCACTTAAAACTATAAATACTAAGTCATAAGTTTCCTTCTTAAATGTGGTTGCATTGGCACTTTGAAGTGGATTTTACGTCAGAAACGAATACTTAAATTAAAAAATTGGAAGCCGTTTCTGATCACTGGTGTAGAACTAGAAGCTAAATAACAAATAATGGTCATGGATTATAAATCTGCCATAAATTGTTCCTTGTTGGTTTATAATTTGCAGCTCAGACTACAGACGCCCGTGGATCGATCAGCAGGAGCTTGCTGGTAGTGGTACTGGTAAACATGAAGTATATACTTCTATGGAAATTGGTTCATGGTTGATACAATTACACATTGTATACTTCTTTTTCGCGCGCAGAGGACGAACGTGTATCAAGAAATTGTCTGAGTTGAGTGCTGAAACTAATTTATGGCTCATATATTCATGTATATACTAATTTTGCTTAACGGGTGATACTGTGACTCGTAAAATATTTGTTCCAAACAAGACTGTTGAAGAGTCGCAATCTGCGCGCGTCTTAACGGGTGAAAATATTTGTTCCAAGACCGTGAGCATGCACCGTCGACTCGAGTTTCAACCCTGCGCGCGTCTCGGCCTCTTGGTGCTTGGTAAAACTTCATACATTTTCCGCCGAAATTATAAGTCTTGTATCGCAAAACATCCTCGCCTCCTACCTCCCTGCGCGATGCACTACTGGGCCGCGCGCGCATATCAAATAATGCTTCTCGCAACCAGGTATCGGCGATTTTATGCAAATTGGCGAGATGCGAAGGATTGTGGATTGACACCGTGAATCAAACATGGCTATGTGAACCAGCACACCGATACACTGATTTTGGAGCCAAAAATAGGCCAAAAACCATGTTTTTTGATATTTTGAGCAAGTTAACTTTGTTAGCATGTCAGAAAAAGTTGCATGCAGAAGATAACTGAAACACAACCGCACAAGATAATATAAAAATAAAACAAATCCCAAAACTTTTTTTCGGGTAAAAATTCAAAAAGATTGTCAAAATTTAGGCTCTTTGCGCGCACTGTATTTTTGGTACTTAGGTTGCTCTAACCAGAGCCCTCTCACTTGCAATAGCGCGCGACCGCCGAAGCGCGTCACGCAGTACGCGTAGGCACATGGCTATGTGAAGTACGTAGGTGCTATATTTTGAATTTGTTCCATATGTCTATTTTAATTGACGATGTTAATTCATCTCAGCTCGGCGCAGCACAATACCGCATTTCGCCGATTTGTCGCCTCATTGAGTGCGCGGCGCGGCACAGTAACGCATTGACGGATGTTACTCGTCTAAATTTCTTCGAAGTAGCGCGCGCCGCTTTCTTTGATACATGTTTCGCGAAGAAAAGTGGCATGCAACGTATGTCAACGCTTTGTCAACGCTTTCTTCTCGCCCGACGGCACGAGCTACGAAGCTAAGTAGCGCGCGCCGGGCCAGATCATTAACAATGGTCAAAGTAACTTATCGCACTACAATATGTCTTGTAATAACAACTAATTTAAATATATTATTTATAATTCTGACCAACAAATTAATTTTAAATGGAACCAACATTTTAGTCCTGACGATACGAGGGGAGCCGCGCACTTCGTGCGCGGTGGGTCATACAACGTATGACAACATTTTAGGAGCGCCGCAAATTTTTTCGAAAATTTACACCGTAGTATTAAAATCGAGCGCGAAAGCAAATACTGTAATATTTTCACACGAATACATTAGTAGTTTTTAATGTTATTGTTTTATTTCAAAACTCATTTTCACTCTATTTGGTTATCTTTTTGATGTGTAATTTGAATATTAACTATGTTTACATGCATTCTCATTGATGTGGAGTACCCATTCATACTATTTCCTATCGTTTTTATCATATGCTTTATCCTCTAAAGTCGGCTCTATTTGTGACATACTTCTTATCTTCTACATAGTTTATCGTGGTTTGTTGATACTAAATTGGTTTAATTGATCCTTTACGATTACACTGTTATAAATGTATAGTAAGATGTGACGGAATTAGAGAAACTGAAATATGTACATGGTTTGTTTAAAATGTGTAAAATGTATGGTGCGACCTCTGCTGCGATATTTGTTTTTCAAACCCCTGGCCGATGAGATCCCGCTCAGTAGAAGTCGAATCGGAAGCAGCGAGTGTAAAATCCATTTAATTAGATTAAGAAGCTTCTTCTGTCAAGCCTGGATGGTATGACCATTAATAATCATAGAAGGGGGGCTGCAGACGTAGACTCAGGTCATATTGGTCTGGGCAATCCCTTGTTTTTGAGAATTGTAGATACAGAGGTTCGAATGCCTCTTTGAGTGTATTTACAGTCAAGCCATTTTTAGATAAGTAAAAGCTAAGCTAGGTACTTACTGCATGCAATGTCATTGATTACAGTAAAGCTTTCGCCTGGAAGAACCTAATATAGGTGTAGGCCGTTACTGATTACACATTAAATCAGGCCATGTCTTCTAGATTTAAGGAATTCTTGTTACATTGGTTCTTATGTGCCCTCAATGATAACATGTTGCTTGTGATGTGGTGTGCTTCATCAACTTGTAGTTGATAGTGTCCTGACTATTATTGTTGCCATGGGATTACTGCTCCTTCAGTTTTGTATGGCATTGAGATAGTTGTTAATTATATTGTTTGGTGTCTGTTCTTGTTGAGATTTCCTATTTATTTTGTATGGTTGCTTATACTGGAAGATTTCTACTTCCAGATTTGATTTTCTAATTTTTGGGTTATTTTTTGTTGTATAATAAATAAAAGTATGGTGTAATGTATTAGATCTGTATTATTAATATACAGTCGATATTTTGTATGTTGGGACTTTATTATAATGTATTGTGTGGTGTGACATAATATATTTATATTAATGCTTTTAATGCAAGTTACAACAAAGTCTTCATGTTATAGAGCCAGGCTTGACTATATCAGATAATATGATGTTCTAATCTTCCAGAGTGACCGAGATGAATTCGGATCTTGCCAAAAAGGTACTAGAAACATATGCAAGGGAGCGTAAAAGTATGGTAAAAGCAAAAAGTTACGATGAAATTCTGTCTCTATTTGATTCGAGTGTTGCTTTTGAAATAAACGATAGTTTGAATCGACAGCAACTTCAGAACACAGTGACGAACAAGGGTAGTTATCCATTTTTCTGTTTCTATGAGTTGATAAAAGGAATTATTTGACCTTATATTTTATCAAGAAAATCATCCATCATTTTGCGATCAACGAGTTTACTTGAGATTCACTTTTCCAATGACAATTAGACTACTATAATGTACTGTATTATAATATGAACTAATCATCAGCTTGGACAGAAATGAATAACGATGAGAAGATGGCATCTTACAGACATCACATTGTACAACTTGTGAAATTTGCAGGTTTTCATAATATTCATACAAATTCAAAGTAAAGTGATTGTAAAAACAGAATCTCTACAAAAATATCGAAATTAGATTTGAGTTTAGGTTTGAATAAAATTGATAATTTTAATATTTTTCATGATGATCTAAAAGGAATAAGGGACATGGACAGTCGTATGTTAAACTCATTTTAATTTTACCAAGTTTTTTTTCTGGAGTCGAACGTAAGAATTAGAATATTAGGAATTTGGAAATGAAATAAAAATTTTAATAACAGTTCAAATTTGATCATTTATCAGATATAGAGTACAGATGATCATGTAATTATGTTAAAATGTTATTTTATGTAATTATTATGTAATGGGTAAATCTTCCTGAGATAAGCACTGTTATATAGGCCGATTTTATTTCAAAATATCTAATGCTAATGTTCTAATTCTCGCAGTCAACTCCAAATAATGAACTTAATAAAATCAGTGATAATGAATTATGTAATCAATATTGATTTGTCGAATTTTTGTCAAGCATAATGTCTTTATTATTTATGCAGGTTTTGGTGACGTGCAGGGCATGATTGTCAAGGTCGCACATGCCAAGAGAAAGGGGAAAAAGTTGGTACCATGGATGATGAGCAATTTGACAAAAGAAGAGAGGAAAATATTGGATCGAGACATGGAGTCTTCTGGACATAAAGGTAGCAACTTTTGATTTTGCCAACCGTATTATTGTTGGTCTTTGCTGTGAAAAATGACCTATTCATGATATCATATCAAATAAACTTGCCCACAGCTCAGGACAAAGACTTATTTTATAGACCACAAAGAATATTGCAATACCATTTCAATTTTCAGATCTAGTGAATCGAAGTCCATCTGAAGTTACGAATATCTTGTCTGTCTACTTTAATACTCTATTGGAGAAAACAAGTGAGTAAATTTTCGGACTGTTATTTTAATGGCTATAGTCTGTATTACTATTATAGACAATAAGCATCGAAATTAAATTAAAAATAAAAGTTTGTATTAATGATTTACCGGGTTGATATTTAGGAAAGCAAAGTCAGCACATAGTAGTTGCTTGTTAAGATTATTTTTTCACAGGTGTATCTTATCGTATATTATCTTTCATAAACACTGCATGAACTTTAAAATGAGATTCTTAAAGACTTTGCTCTCGAATGTTCCAATTATTGTTCAAACATGGCAACTCTTGCCAAAATTAACATATTTGTAACAGTCCCGTCAATACAAAAGAAGTGCCCCCATCTTTTCATTTTGTTTGAATAACCAAAATCGTAACAGTATCTTTTGTTTCAGAATGTTGCATCTGTGACAAGTTACAAATAGCGAATGGTCGCGGAGATATTGTTTATTTCCACACTGAAGATGAGAGATTGTGCACTTCAGCTAAAACTTATTTGGAAATGCTGAGGTCAATTAGACCCCAGCTTAATCTCCCAAAGCGGACTGTATGCATCTGTCTAGAATGCCTTGGTACTATAAAGCAGAAATATCAGCAGGTACTAATACTGCACTGGTTGGATGGCCTATGGTAGTGCACATTTGCTCTTAAAAGCTTAGCTTCATCACAGATCTTGGTGATCGTCCTCATATAATCATGAAACAAAGATTTCTATTCCATTTTAGGTATGATACATAATATATTGTACTACAGCCGTATTTTCGATATAATATGTAATAATGTAAGGTAATCTATCGGTCATCGGTGGACACTAAAGCCACATTTAACTCTTAAGTGCCTTAACTGTGCCTTAACCTTGCCGTAAGTGTCGCCTAACTGTCCACCGAAAAATTACCTAGTTTCCTAATGTAATGAGTATACGCTACATTGAGTTCAATACATTTGTGTAACGCTAGATTAACACTTGTATTTCTGACGTGAAATTTGGATTCCAACATTATATTTTAAACAGATCACTACATCTTTGTCTCAATTGGAAAAAAGTTTGTGGATGAAAGCAGAACAACCTTCTGAGCACGAAATTTGTGAGAGACCAACATTCTCAACTACGAGTATTGAATCGAGTAGATCCCTAAAGCTTTGGAAATCACAATCTTTTGGTTCGAGTCAGTCTAGTCAGACAGACGCTTTTGTTGTCGATTGGAGTCGCTGTTTCATATGTCAAGATGACAAGGTATCATTATATTCCTTATCTAGACTTTAACTTTCATTATCTGCTATTTTTAAAAGCGACTGACAGTTATGTTGAATATTTATCTCCAACAGTTTACATATAATACATAACCATTATATTGATTTTGGTGGTTCAAAATTAAACTTTACAGGAGGGTGAAGGCAAGTCCGTAAAACTTGTTTGCGGGACAGATCCAACATTTGAAATGCTAGCTAAGAATATGATCTGGATGAGTACGAACCGCTTTGATTTGTATCAGGGGGATGAGCCACTGCATCATTATGGAACTGAGGTCATCAAAGATGCTAATTTGGCACATGCTTTTATTTCGAACAACGCGAAGTTTCATAAATCGTGCAAAACTCGTTACAATAACAACAGAATAGAGAATCTCAAACAAAAACTGTTCAACCCTGAGCAACCTCCCTCTAAAGCTCTAAAACGCCAGAGGCATTCTTCTGCTCACGACAACACAGAGGAATCTATTATAAAGACATCTGCTCTTCACACTGTCACAGACTATATTTTGAACCAAGAGGAAGTATCTCCTGGACTGTACTTGGTTGCTGAACTGGAGACTATGTACAATGACAGCGTGCGTGCCGCTTTACTTGATCCTTTAGATCCTTCAGGACTGATCTCAAATCACGTCACAAAGTTTGCTGAAATGGTTAAAGAAGCTCTACCTGGATTAACTAGGCTTAAAGTCGGGAATAAGCTTTACTTAGTATTTGATAACAGGCAGTCTGTGGGTCTAACCGGTAGCTTTTAAGGCGACGATTATGAAGTATTACGAAGTAAAGTTGTTAAAATTAATAATATATAATTTAAATAAAACTTGTAATTTTAACACTGCTACGTGATCTCAAGGATCAGCATTATTCCCTGCACGCCTTTTAATTATTATACAACGTGTATCAGAAAAGAAAGATCAGAAAATATACATATGCTAAATTTAGCATGCCCGAAATTTTTTAATTTAACATTCTCAATTGCAATACTAATGTATATTTTCTGATCTATACTTTCTAGCTAAATCCAAAAATCACTTTACACTCGAACTTTGAGATTTTTCTAACGACATTTTTTGTTTTTAATTGGTGCATGCTTTTTAGAGCATCTACTTTTCCTTAAATATACAAACATTGTTGTCTGTTTCTAAAAATAAGAATCTGTTCATTCGACTGGACAGCTATGATAATATATGTATACCTAGTGTTTTCTTAGTGTTTCTAGCAGACCTGATATGCAATAATCTTGTACAGAAGTTCTAGCAATTTTTGCCTTTGGCCATAATATTTTGATTAAAACTCTCGATAATATGTCTCAAACATTTGAAAGATTCGACAATTGACATTTTATTACATTAAAATAAATATCTGTCAAGTTATTAACAAATAAATACGTAACATGTATTTGCTTCAATTTATCATAAAATTTGATGTGACTAGATACCACTGTTTTGTGTATAAAATCTTTAAAAACTCTGAAACACCTTATCTTATCCCACATTCAGCTTGAAATGTCGAAGGTTGGAAAAGCAGTGGCCAAGTCGAAAACTTTGTACCCCAGAGATGCATCAAAAAGCCTAAAATTCCGAATGCAGATCCCAACTCGCCAAGCTTTCCCTAGCCCTCCTCTCGGACCACAGCTTGGATCAAAAGGAATCAACTCTGCTAAGTTTTGTAAGGAATTCAATGAAAGGACAAAACACTTCAAGGAAGGGTACCCATTGCCCATTGACTTATATGTGTATGATGATAGGTACGAATTTGTATGGTATCCTCCCATTAATAGGGCGTAACTGTGATCTATAAATGAACTGCAATTTTAAGTATATCCAATCTATTTGAATGATTGAATCAGTCTGGTTTTAAGTCTGTATAGTTGACAATGAAATAAATTTATACTGATATTAATTGAGTTTCAGGTCATACAAGTTTGATATGTACTGGCCTGCTACTGCTTACATGATAAAACAGGCTGCTGGAGTTACAAAGGGTGGACAATATTCTGGCTTTGAGTGGGTCGGTGCTATCAACATGAAACAGGTAAAGTTATAGAAGTGTGTTCCACACAATAGTGCTCACAATCCTTGTTTAAATGTGTGGTTATAATTGTAATAAAATGAATCATATTATTAAAATTATTATGATTATAAGTTTCGAGTAAGAGGCATATATTTCTCAGGTATATCACATCGCAAAGAATAAAGTAGAAAATGATTCACGAGTGAAATATGTGCCACTCGATCAAATGTGCAGAAATGTGATAAGACAAGCAGAGAAAATGTGTATCGCTGTTGTAAGAGACTGAGTATATGACCTAGTTCAATTCTCGAACTTAATGTGAGATAATATTTGTTCATTAATTTATTATATAAAGCAAAAGCAGAATTGCGGCAAGTCAAGGCTGAAGTTTTTATTTTACACCTAGTTAAAGAGGATATTTCTTACTTCTTAGGAAACTATTTAACCATTGTTATTAGATCAAATTGATAAAATGTTCAAAAATGTTTTACTAAAACTTAAATCGGTAAATATTTAATATAGTTTTATAAAATTAGATTTATTCTCTAAATGAAACAATCAACACAAAAATTAATGTGTTCTATATTAATTGAATACAATATTTTCTTACTTGATTACCAAGGTAGTAATCGCCATTATTCAATCAGTGTTAGGAAAAGATGTTAATAATTAAATCATTTTTTCATAGTGCTAGCATGTCACAAATTAAAGCAATACATTGGAATGTCTACTACTGAAGTTATAGATGGATGGAGGTGGTTATTTCTTCTTGCTAAGTACAGTTAGATCAGAAATGCTGTAAAATGAATTTAGAGAAATGGAATGAGTTTCAGAGAATTGTGTTAAAAGTAGTGAAAACAGGTAAAAATAAGATTTCTTAGTGAAAACCTTATATTCTGTTGTCAGATGTTTCTTAGCAAAAAAACTTCAAAATTTATTGTTCTACTGTCTCAACTAAAATAAGAAGACTACAATCTTTAATGTTCTATTACTGATATATGTACATCTTGATGAGTTATTCCATCAGGTGATGCGGAATTGAATCCGACTGATTTAAAAGAGTTGAAGTCCCTATGCAAGAAGGGTCTTGTGCCCATGCCGGACGTGTTTGGTCTGGTAATCAATCATCTTCAAACAGAGCACTGTCAAGTCAGGATATCCTCTTTTCAGGTAAGACTATAACAGTAATCTCGTAATCTATTTTATCAGATGAGGAGCTTTCCTTAGTTGATTCTTAATAAAAAGCTTAATATTATCCGAGGTAATGTTGGTTTAATGATTGTCGTCTAGAATTAACAAGCAAATTTCCCAGATATTAGATGAACTCTTTCATAGAAGTCATGCTATCCGGGAGCTTACCCTCGAGAGACTGAAGACAATAGTTTCTTTGACATTAGCTCTTGAATTATCAGACGATCTTCCTCCACCTCGCAAGTTTCAGAGTATTTTGAAGGTATTCTACTGCTCTACTGTTTACATGACTGAAAATAGATTTTAACTTTAATAATCGTTAACGTTTATATACTTTGTAGATGACTGTACTGGGATGATCTAAATTAACAGTTAATTTATTTGAAAATGAGTAAAAGTTTATTGGAATATAGATCATCGGTGGGTATTCTATAATAACCTTGATTATATGATAATTTTTTTCAGCAAACAGCGATAAAAGCAATAGATACATGGAACGAAAAGTTTGGAGCACACTACAATAAATTGAGAATATCCTATAACTTCCTGAGAAGCAAGAAGAATGTTGACTTCAAGAAACTCATCGCAAGAACTAACTTTGAGCAAAAGCAAGAAGAAAAAAGACAGCAACAAGAGAAACGTGTCGCTGATTACACTGTTTCGAAAACTTTATCAAATTTCGAAATGCAGAGTGATTCTTTCAAAGATTGCATTTTCGAAGCAAATACTTGTTTCGATTTATTGATTCCTATGGGGGCTCCTGAAACTCATATATCAGATAACTCTGAAATACCTGAGGCAATCATAGACAACAAAACAAACAGCAAGAAAGAAACAACTCCTAATTTCTCGATTACTGTAGACCACTCACAAAAATTGGTAATTAAGGAGACATCAGACAATAATTCGGTTATACAAGTTTTAGATGACCGCATTTATCAGGCGAGAAAATCATTCATTCCTCGGCTGGATGCTTGGATCGAAGAGCTTATTAAAAACGATGGTGAACAAAAAGAGGTGCTACCTTTGATCAAAATGAAGGAAAGATTAAATATAATTTGCAACAAGCACAAAAATTTGGTATTCAAGAGGACTTCCAAAAGAAAAAGAAGAATCGTTCAAAAGGAGGTGAATGAAAGTGATGATTCCGATTTCGAAGAAGTGGATGACGATAATGTGTTAGAGACAATTCCTGAAGAAAAGAAACTTAAGCTGGCTATGGCCATGAGCAAACCTTTAAAAGCAACTAAAACAAACGAAATCTCTTCAGCTCTCAAAACGTTTGTTGCAGACGATGAGCAGCCTTGCTCTTCGACCTCTTGTCTGGACAAAGCATCTTCCTTCCCTCAAAATAATTCACCTCAATCACATATCAAGGCTGCAAACAAAATGAAGGACGTTATGAAAAGTGATGCTGAAGATGACGAAAGTGATTTTGCACTTCAACAGTATGCTGTAGCAAGTTTTGAATCACTGCATAGATTCTGGGCACAAAAAGACATTGAGCCAGAACCAATGGATATCGACACTGTGCGAGCATTGAACCCAAAATACTGCAACGTTCCCGGTAAGTTCGAAGCAGTGGTCTGGTCATGTAGGGCTCCTATGAAGTCAGGGAAGACATGTCCTAGAATGGATCGGCACAAGTGTCCTCTTCATGGTAAAGTTATACCACGTGACAAGGTAGGCAAACCTAACGGGAAATCTAGTGATCTCTTCTCCAAGTCAGAACTCCTTTCTACTAAAAAGTCAAATGGGGAATCTTGGGAGGAGGTAGAAAAAGAGATCGAGAAACTTACTGGGGAAAAACTGAATTACTCCAAAATAAAGAAAAAGAGAGAGGTGAAGCCTACAAATTTAGTGAGCCTTACGAAGACTGCTCCCGTTACCGCACGAAACAGGATAGAAAAGAAAATAATGAACCCCAGGGCCCTCAAAGCAGTTAGCAAGAGTGCTGACAAAGTGGCCAACGCAAGAAATAAAAATGCTTTTGATCAGCAATTTAATTATTCCATGTAATCCTAATAAATTTTGATTTCCTCCCAATGTCAACTTAAACTTATTTAGGTTCATTATGTTTTGCTGCATGGAGAATGACGTATGAATATTGAATATTTAAACATTTTATAGTATAATTTAAGGTACTGTAATCGAGATATTTCATTTAACTTAATAGCCCACCAAATTTCAACGGAGAGTTTAATTTTCGGTTACATATAAAATATTCTCTCCGATCCCAGACTTTCCAGTACAATTGAAATGAAGGCATTTGAATGGGGTTGAAATGCTGCTGAAACTGAATACTTCGGGCATGAAACGGATTGTAAAACATTGATAAAACCTAAATTACAACAATTGAAACACATTTTGCAGCACCTCAGTACCTGTAGCATATGCGTGATTCATCTTATTGTATCATGTCTATCCATTACTAAATGTCTCATATTGACTAGTTAAACTCTATTAGCATGTCTGAACTAGACAGACTTGTGTCTCAGAAGACCCAACTTCCCGGGCTCTGGCAGCATGTCCTCGGTGACACCATGGGTTTTACTCTCAAGGCTCTCAGCTCAGCTTTCTCTCGCTACCTCATGACACCTGACATCGCTGCTATCTCAGAGGTAGGGTATCTACAATGTGCTTTTTTAATGAATTATTCCCATACTGTTCAGAGTAGCATTAGAGATAATTGATAACTTAATAATGACTTAATGACTTAATGAGTCGGGTGTTTTGGTGTTCGCCGTTATTATTACAATAGATATTGTAAGTATCTTCATTGCGCCGTTTTCTGACTAAATACGCCCGGGCAGATAGAAAGGCTACAAGTCGCTCTGCAAGTGTGCTCATTCTACAACGATCTCAACAACGAAGAGATAGCCCAGAATATCATGGCTCTTCTCATTGAAAACTCTTCAAAACATCATGTTTGTGTTTCATAGATTTGCCTATTATAATATGACAATAGTACTTCGATTTATCACACATGTCACATACGCAATCGTCTCAAAGGTATTATTGACTTAATGTATACTGTTGTCTGTGTTACTATGTAATACCTGCTCTGGAAATTGAAGAAGGGTGACGGCCTTATCAACAACAGCTGTGTATAATAAATCTGTCGCTAGAATTACTTCCAGAGAAGATAATAGAATTTTTAATCAACCTGAGAGTCGGAAATCGAAATTTAAGTTGGTCTCACATCAGTTATTTTGATCTCAGGGACTACGTCACTAACGATTTGAATAGCGTGTAATATCCGGATTGGACCATTATTTATTAGTCGCATAGTTGTAATGTTTATGGGGACAAATTTGTAGTGATCCCGTAATTGCTTGAAGTTGAACAATTCTTTTTCCTGATAAGATTTGAATAACGTTGTTTCCTATTTTCTCAGGAATGTATGGAATTCCTCTCGTTTCTCTCCTCAGTAGCCGCTTCCTCCAAGTGCAGACTTTACCTGCAGACTTTTGCTCTACACGCTGCTAAGTCCGCTGTTACTAATACTGTTTGCAAGGTGAATGTTGTTTATGAGTTTAAAAGATTTTGTTAACTCATGTTGCTTCGTATATTTCACTGCTGAACCATTTAGATCAGTAGATTGATCAATTTACTAAAGTTTAATCCTCCTGGAAGTTTCACACTCTACACCTCTCAGCGGATCCTTTCTGACAACTGTCTTAACTCCACCTGCTACTCAGAATTATACCCCATCGCTAAAATAGCCCCTCAGTTTGCACTCCTCCTCCTCAGATACGCTCTCTCTGGTCTTGTCAAGTCTCTTTCCCAGCAGGTATTGTGTTCTAAAAATAGATATTAATTATAGATTAATAACACCTGATCAAGTGTTATTAATCTATAATCAATATCTGAATTAACTCTTTTTCATCATTACATAATTAATTAATCACCATAGTATTATACTCGAGAAGGAACAGAGAGAGAGAGAGAGAGAGAGAGAGAGAGAGAGAGAGAGAGAGAGAGAGAGAGAGAGAGAGAGAGAGAGAGAGAGAGAGAGAGAGAGAGAGAGAGAGAGAGAGAGAGAGAGAGAGAGAGAGAGAGAGAGAGAGAGAGAGAGAGAGAGAGAGAGAGAGAGAGAGAGAGAGAGAGAGAGAGAGAGAGAGAGAGAGAGAGAGAGAGAGAGAGAGAGAGAGAGAGAGAGAGAGAGAGAGAGAGAGAGAGAGAGAGAGAGAGAGAGAGAGAGAGAGAGAGAGAGAGAGAGAGAGAGAGAGAGAGAGAGAGAGAGAGAGAGAGAGAGAGAGAGAGAGAGAGAGAGAGAGAGAGAGAGAGAGTTCTAAATTTGTATTTTAATACATCCAGGCCCCAGGGCTCCAGTGACTATCCAATTAATACAAGTGTATGATGTGATATCCAGAAATAACACTGATAATTCTGACCTATTAACCAATTACTCTCATTTCATCAGGAAGAGATAAGCTTGACGGTGCTGGAGCTAGCTCTAAACATGGTGGAACAGAACAGTATGTTCTTATCCAACTCTGATGTCTTACATTCCACACTGTTTTGCGTCATAGTCGCTCCTTTGATCGACAGGAAGAAATCAAAGTTGTCCAGAAAACGGGAGAAGGAGAAGAAGGATATCGTGAGTGGACTTGCGATTTTTATTAGATGGATTTATTATGGTTATAGTTGTCAAGACTAAGTGGTTACTAGTTATAGTTGTGCTCATTATGGCTGTTCGATATTGAAAATAATAATAATTTCTAATTCAATTTATCTTATATGATGCCTTAATTAAATATATGATGAGACAAATGAGACGCCATATTTGGACGCGAGGAGGATTAGGACTCCTCGGACTACATTAAATTATGTAATTATTGGTAAGAACACTATTGTAATTATTGGTAAGAACACTATTGTAATTATTCGTAATCTAACACTATTGTAATTATTCGTAATCTAACACTATTGAGTATTGTTTACTGCAGGCTAATTTTAATAAGCTGGAGGACAAACTGTTTAAAGCGATGTTCTTGAAGTTATCCACTAATGAGCCTCAAGTAAGTTTCATGTAATATTATACATTTATCACATGCCTTCTCATGCGATATCAAAACTTTCGCCCACGAGGCTTGCCGAGTTAGCGAAAGTTTCGATATTTCCCGAGGCTTGCCGAGGGTTATATCGACATTTTCAATCACGAGGCTTGCCGAGTTTTGAAAATGTTGATATCGCATGAGAAGGCATGTGATTAATGTTTTATCACACTTTCTTTGGAGCCAAATTTGGCCGGGAAAGCAGAATTTGATCAAACGTTAGTTATAAATCTCACCAAAGCAAAACTAAACATGTCGAACTTATTTATGTTTATAATGTCCAAGCTATATATAGCTCTCGATAAGTTAGTATTTCAGATATTAAAGATACAATACGTCAAAATTAGAACCCGCGTTTCACATTTATGACACAGTGAATGCTGTGTGCCGCGCTGAATTTGCTTTGTACTGCTACCTAGTGCATGCGATATTAATGTGTTTTCCGCCTATGGGTCTTGTACTTATGAGTCTAGAATATTCCGCAGCGAGCGCGTTTGATACGTAATTACATCCTGCAAATCAGTCGATGTGAGGTGATTCTAATACTTTATTTCTATTAGATATTTTTAGAGTCATTAAAACTGTAGATGCAGTATAATGTATAGAACATCCGTTAAAGTGTTGATTATACATCACAGTCCTTATCGTATAATCTGTATCTGCGATAAGGTGAAAGAATTTCCTGGTTGTTAAATTTGAATAGAGCTGTGGCGCCATGATTGTCTATTTATCAGTCCACATTATACACTGCACACCCTAATTTACACCAACAATATTATCGTCCGTCTTGATTCTTGATTGTCTGTTATTTCAGAATGATTTAATCAATGCAACTTGTAATCGTTGACTTAGAATTTTATCAATTATTCTGCTTAGTTCTTAGTCAGTATTCATCTTTACTTGCCATTATTTGCCATTATCTGCTTCGAGCTAGAAATTATCTGAACTGGAAATTATCAGAACATTTGTAATATTCAAATGTATCTCTTCAACATTTTAGAACGCAGTACTCCACCAGCCTATAACCACCCTGGTCATGGCCAGGTAGTTCACCCGTACTGTTACCAATATTGAATTGGTCTAATGAATGGCAGCACATTAATCATCGGACCTGTTTGCCCCAGTGCCCAGACTAATTTATAACCAGATTAGCTGATTAAGTTACGTCATTCGTCCCTTGATATATTTATATAAATAATATATTTTATAGGATGTTTTTATTGCACTTATTTGCACTAACTAAAATTCAGTTAAAACTAGTCCTGGGATAGAATTTCCGCTCTTTATTGTACAGAATCTACATATAAGTCTCTTTATCAGTCTGTTTATAGATCAGCCACGAATTTCGCAAGCTAATCTAGGCAAAACCGGTTTGGAAAAGCCAAGTATAATTTCTGCACAATTTCTATATGGAATATGGCTCAAAGAAGGGATCAGAGGGGGTTAAAATTGAGGTCTGAAATGGCTGAAATCTGGCTTTGTTTTGTGTGTTTTCTTCGTTCGAATTAATCAAACATCGTCTAGTGTTTACTATTTTTTGTGAGGGTGACTGTAGTTTGTTCTGACACTTCCTTTTTAATTTCAAGTAAGCGATTAAGGAAATTAATTATCCTGATTGATTGAATCGCTGACAAGTACCAAAACTTTGTGAAACTTTCAAGTCTGCTTGTAAACTTTGATCTCGTTTTCAATAACCTTAAGTCACTTAAAGCTCGTACAAGCCAGGGAGTTTTTACTTTGTTTCATCATCCGAAGCCTAATTAGGCTTTGAACTATAAAGTGCAATAAAAAGGGAACAGCTTGAAAAAGTTTTACAACAAAAAATTGTATTTTGCTTGACGCATCTCAAACACAAGGAAATATTTTCAAAATCAGGTATAAATATAAATTTTTCCTTATCCTGGAAAGTTCATCTGATCATTGCATTAACGGTCATAGACTACTTCAGGATGTTGATTTAAATCTTTATTTAAATCAGTACCTCACAGTAGTAGAACAGTTGTTGAGAGTGGGCTCCTTGTTCCTATGGGAATATCGGGCTCTCTCTGAGTAACTGATTGATATTTCATGCCCCCGGGTGAGAGCCAGTGCTCCCCATCGGGGCATGTAATATCAATTCTGCTTTCCTGCTAAATTTGGCTCGAAAGTGTGATAATATAGTATATGTATAGTTTAGTATATGTATAGTATAATATAGTATAGTATATGTATTATGTATAGTATATTTATAGTATATGTATAGTATAGTATAGTATAGTATATGTATAGTATAGTATAGTATAGTATAGTATAGTATAGTATAGTATAGTATAGTATATTGTATAGTTTAGCTAATCTGTGATCACTGATCGTGCTTTCAGCGTTCTTTCCTTTGCAGATAGTAAAACTGTAAAACAAGTTGATTTTAAATTTTGACCATCATAATTAAATCGGATTTATCGATATTTAAATTTTCAAACATTCCGATAAGAAAATTACCTCTCGTAAGCATACTCAATAAACTTATTAGATTTATCTTATCAGGTTGATTGGAAAGCAATTCAAAAGATAACAGACTTCATCAACTCAAACTGTAATACAATAGGCAGTTCTAAGAATTTAAAGTTACAGAAAAGTAAAGACAAGATTAACCAGATAATTCTACTTATGTCACACGACAGAGCGCCTTCATGTGAGTTCTACGTTATTAATTGTTGTAAAAGAGAGGAATCTTGATATGACCAAAACTACAAGTTAAAACACACCGCATATTAAAAGCCTCTAGAGTCTAGACTCAGTATCCTATAAAATTAACGGATAATCATCTTTCAGCTGATACAGATATGCTAGTCAAGCTAATCCAGAGGAATGAGTAAGTTTTGCTTCTCTACTTGCCCGACAGTTCACTTTATCATATTACAAGTCACAAGACCCCACCTCAGCACCTCATGCTTCATTGTACACCACTACTGGACAGTATGGTATAATGTCATTTGTAAAAATTGTTGTTGCATACAGACAGTGATAAAAAGTTCACTGCTTCCCACGATGTTCAGATTATTATATTATATCCGGTTGAGGCCGAGGGGTGTTCTGTTCCGATTATAGATTTAGCTTCCAACGTCAGTGATTGTAGACTTTGAGTATGCAGATATAGTGTTTCATGGTTTGGAGTGTAATATTGACTGTTACCCTACATTTCACATCCGCATTTTGCTTGTTCGTTTGTGAGGAATGCTTTGGTTTGTTATCTAACGTGATTTGCTTTATGTTTTTTTTGCTTGTTAATCTATCCCTTTGTAACTTTGAGACTCTTTTCAGATTCGGCGAGTTCATGCTGCAGTCCCTACGGGCAGGAACATGACGGATTGTCTGTGTCACTGGAAATCTAAGTCGTACAGAATTAAAGTTACAATATCCAGCACTTGATCGAGATGAGAGGAAATTTTCAGTGATAACTGTGCTCAATTAAATGTGCTAAGTTAACACTGCACTGCTAACTGTTGAAACTCGTCCCGTGCCGGGCTTTGTGTGGTTTTATTAAGTTATCAGACCAGTATGTTTAGGTTTTAATGAAGAAAACTCTTTAAAATTTATTTTAAAAGTTATGCTTTAATATTTCTATTTTATTTATTATAATTTTGATTTTACAGAGCTGTTGTTTTACTTAAGTTGCACAATAGATGTAAATAATAACAGTGATTGCTACTTTTTCATAAACCGTTAACCTTATCGTATTCTTTATTTAAATGTATTCTGAATTTCATAACCTTTTCCACACTTCTATAAACATCATAATATTTAACACTGTCCCAGTTAGATACTCTATGACAATATAACACATGGATTCAAAATTTTGTATCAACTGTTGATCTCTGGGACACAACGAAATAGTGGACCGTAAAAACAGCTTTTATCACTTGAGCAACAAGCAGTAAACTTCTACAGACACATCCGTGAATCTGCAGTTATCAGATTAGAAAGGTGGAACTAAAATCAAAAGAGAAAGAGGGAGTTATCAACAAGATTACTAAAAGATATCAACAGTAATGGGGCAGTTTGAGAAAATCATTTACGCGCTGTGTCTCCTAAACGTAGTGATTTGTCTTGTCATGGCACCGTTCCAGCTGTTCTACATCACCATTATACTTCAGTGGCAGGTTAGCCAGCATCTTAAAACTTTAACTACATCATGTGATGATTTTTTCGGTTTTCACATTTGTTTCTCAGGCGTACGGCGTACATTCTCGTAATACCGTTTTCATGATTTACGATGCATCACTATCTAAAATACCTGTACTTTTTTTGAAGAACTTTTATAGTTCTATATTAACTTCTATATTACACTTTGTTTTGTTACATAATAATTTATTACATTTCATTTTAATTTTATTACATTACTTTTTACCAGGAGGACTGTTCACTGATACTGTTGTTGTGCTCGATCTGGTGTAGTGCCGTGTTTACGTGTATAGCGGTGCTAAACTTCTACATAGTTTACAATAAACACAGAGAGCATTGGAACGGGCTCAACAAAAACATGAGGTCATTGTTAATAAGTGTTAGAGCCAGTATATTATTATTATAATGAAATGTGTTGCTAAAACAATAACTGTACATTTGCAATTGTGCATCTTTATAATTCTTTGTGTTAATATCAGGAGTTCTTTTGAGTTTTCACTCTTTCGACGAAGCTGCAAATAGCCATTCTGGGGTTTAAAATCCCATTAATTTATGATTTCAAATTCGATTTTGGTTAAGTTTGATGACTAAATAACAATTCCAGGTTTCTGGCTGCAACATTATTTGTTATATTTGGACAGATAATGGGACTGATGTTTGCTAAATACAGACTTACAAAACTGAACGAGAACAAGTTCAAGTCAGCTATGAAGAATTATTATAGTACAGCAGACAGGTAAATTTAACTCGAACATTTTTAAAAAAAGGCAGAATTATTCTGAGATTTCTAGGAAGTCCTTATTAAATATTAAAGCCCTTAGTAAATAGATTACTCGATACCATTACTATTACTTATCTAGTTTAAATATTACCTGTTCAACGTATATTAATTGTTCAAATTTTAACCATCTAAACTTCAAATTACGATCATCAATAACTCATGATTTAATAATATAGAAAGACTTACTTTTTTATTGCTAAACTTACTAAACTTGCCCTCTTTTCCCTGCAGTACAAAAGTCTACATTGACAACACCCAGACAGGGGGACAGTGTTGTGGTTATTATAACAAATATGACTGGGATGTTCGCCAGCACATTCCACCCTCTTGCTGTCTGGACAGGAATATTACCTGTACCGCACAAAACGCCTTTAAAATAGGCTGCCAGAAGTTCTTCAATAATTTGGTGAGTAATGAAAATGCCTCGATTGAAATTTTTCCGCATGAATAAATCATAAGGTTTCAAAAATAAGCAAAATTGTATTCTCAAAAGATCGAGAATTTGATGTGTTAGTACACATAATCCACAATCTAGGTCTTAGAAAGTAAAATCTTCTTAGAACACTGTTCCTTTCAGATACGAGACGCAACGGATGTACCCTTAATAACCAGTATGGTTCTGCTGCTTAGTGCTCTTACTATTTACATCTGTATCATGACTTATCTTCAGTTCAGGTACCTTACTTTTAACATCTCACATCTGTATCATACATAGCAGTATAGTGGAAATCAATTTGAGTAAATTTAGTGGCGAAAATTGTGGTGACCTTCAACGTATCGAGAGATATTTTATCTACTTTCATATTCTATTAATTCACGTAGCTACCTAGCCTTCATTAACTAACTTTCTACTCCAATTGCCAGTGGGGTGTATGAATACGAGGAGATCCCGTCTAACACGTTCGAAGAGAGCTTAGTGGAGGGAACTCACCAATCCTGGAGGTCCTCCCGACACTCCATTAACGACAGCGATATCACGCCAGCATGCCCCATATCACGTGATACTGGGTACGGGTCACGTGCTGGATCTGGATCACGTGCTGGATCCGCGCGCGCAGGGACGTCACGTGACACCCTTAACGGGGGACCTCAGGTGATAGTGTCACGTGATCCTGCCCGACAAACAGTGTGAACGAGGATAGTTCTGTCAGCATTAACAATTGTGTGATGAATTTTCTACCTCAAAACTTTTTGCCGGCAGCACTTTGTGTTCTTAATGCCTCCCGATTCCAGATTTCTCGTTATGGAGTTATGGTTGGATGAGTCTAAGTTAATAAACATTAATTATCGGGGTTAAAGATAGGGTTAGATCTCAGATTGGACACAGAGCTCCGGGGCGACTACACCTGAGTCAGAGAGTGTATATTATAGCATATTGCGATTGTTTGGATGGTAAGTTTGTGCGATTTTAAATATTATATTGGAAAATGGGCTGAAGAGTGAACTTGCTGTTAAATTGGGAGGATTTTGAAGTAATTTGACTCGGTTATTTATATTAGGCTCTAATACAATCAAATCAGTGGCTGTGATTACAGCGGGTTTTAGGTGGGTTAAATGTCCCGATCCCCTCTGTCTTTTGAATGCAAATAACCGTTTTCTCTGTTCTGAATGTAATTAATGTTACATGACGTGTATTAAACACAAAATGGCCTTCAAGTTTTAATGGGGCACTTGAATTCGACATTATGTGGACATTTCCAGTTTTTGATTTGTATAATCTCAATCAGTTTTAATTTTCGTACACTTTGGGTTGATTTTTGATCACTCAATATTTGTTTTTATGTCTTTTTCTAATCGTTATGTTTCACATTGATTCACAGAAAATTGTTTGGGGTCTCGTTTAATTTTGTAGCCTCGTTTTGTAGCTTCACTGTATAAACTCTTCGAATAGTTAATAGTGACGGTTAGAACACGTGACCCATATTAAAGACCACTTGATTATCCATTGATAATTAGCACACTATGTTTTACTCCTTAAATATACATGTATTTTGTAGACTATGAATGGAACCATCATTAATTTTGAGGGAAAAGTATAAATTTTCATTCAATGATAGTGAGTATAAAATTAACCGTATTTATGCAATATTAACAATAATTGTAACTTTTTATTTGCCAGTTTTTGCTCTCTTAATTGGTTAATTGGATTGATCATTATTTATAAACTGAAGAGGAAATGAGAGTCTCCACTCAGTTCAAAATTAAAACAGAATACATCATATTGTATTGTTGACATTTCGGATACATGCCTTTGTTACACTTTACATAGCTGCATTCTGCAACACACAATAGTTAAAATAAACATTTAACTAACTAATTTGTGTTAACAAATAATTACTGATGTGCAAAGCAAGCGTATTAAATAGGTTTAAGAAAATCATGTGATTCAACAGAAGGTCTAAACTAATTCTCAATCAGACCTACTTCCTTATCATAACAATAGCGTGCAAATGTCACTATTACACACAACAACAACACACTACTTGCTATACACTACTTGCTATGCACTACTTGTATAATATATCAACTTCATATGAGTTCCTTTACTTTCCAAGTTTATCTATCAACTCAATATGTATTTACATTTTGGTTTCAAATTTATAAGGAGACTCTCATTGCGACTTTCGTGTATAAATCAACAATAAAAATTTAAAAACTAAGGAATAATTATAAAATTGTAAATTATGTTTGATTTTTGGGTGTTTAACACTGTTTCCATAAAATTATATTTTAACCAGTTTTTGTGCGACTCAAATTTTTTAATTTGTTTGCTAAAAGGTCGTTCACATATTAAGTTAGCCAGATTTGGACCATTGTAGCCTCCCCCCATGGCTACTGTTTAGAAATTACATTAGCGTAAGCTTTTCAAACCCCCTCACCCTTGGCTTTCTTATGTAATATGTGACCGATCCCTAAACTTTCTGCAGTGCGAGAGGACCCCAACATACTTTTCTACCACTTAGAATTTAAATATAATAAGGAATGGGCCTATTCAACAAATTCAGCAATATTTTAATTCAATATTACGTCATAATTTGTGTCCACATATTTGAAAATTTACTATTTTCTGTACTTTTTGTTTACTATTGATTAATTGGTTACTTCTTGCTAAAATCTAAGTACGTGTTTTTGATGTTTTAAGGGACATTTGAAATGAAACATTCTGATTATTATTAATATCGACATCTTGTGTTGGTTTTGGCGCATAAAATTTGAATTTAAATGTATTAATTCTTTCATCAATACAACCGTGTTTTTGGATTTTCATTAGACAGCATTTTCAATTATCTCTTGAAGTGACCTTATCAGTGAAACAAAAAATAAAAACATTTTAGCTTGCTTAGTTTTCAAACAGTTACTATATAACTAATAAAAGTTCCATCTATAATGATAAAGAAAATAGATTATACGAGTTGAAGTAAGTGAGAAACGAGTGGTGCAATAAGAAATGCAAGTATCTAACATTTTGGGAAAAAGATCGGGCTTGCTAGGAAAGGTTAGCACATATTTGCTCTCATTTGGTCGAGAGTTGTATGGGAATTCTTCCAGACCACACTAAAACTGCATGAATTTTTGCTAAATACTAATTCAATATCAACAGGCATATCCTGTCCAAACCCAGGATACATGACATAAAAGATTCGTTTTCACTTGTTTGCATGAAAAGCATTAATATCATAAATATCATATGAAAGTGAATTGAATACATAAAACCATCCCGAGAATATGAAACTGTCTGCATGGAACACAATACATATCATGTGATTACATAATGTTCCATCTTAGACCAAAATGACATATCTAAATGGTCTCCTAGCAGACTAAATCACATTAAATTAATAAAGCCTTCTTTTAACTCAAGTCCTCAGCGGTGCTTGAGTTCACTTTACGACCAGTACCAAAAGGAAGCACTCTCAAACCCGACTGGATTCTGGGGCAAACATGCTGAGAATTTAGTGTGGGACAAAAAGTGGGACAAAGTCGTGGACACTTCCAATCCTCCTTTTACTAAATGGTTCGACTTGTTTTAAATATTTCTATCCCATTTCATTACATTTCTCTGGGAAGTGTGAAGCTTAGACTAGTATTAACTCAGAAAATAACATGATCAGTTCATTGGACCCAACCTCACGGCTACCATGAGTCTGTTTGTCTGTTTACGTACCATTTTAATAATATAAGATAGTAATACCAGGTAATAGCTCCATTACATGTTTGTAATAATATCAGGTTTAGCGGAGGGTGGATGAACATGTGCTACAACTGTGTTGACCGGCACGTGGACTCTGGTAATGGTGAGAAGAGTGCTCTTATCTGGGACTCACCCGTTACTAACTCACCTATTCGCCACATGTCTTATAACGAACTTCAAGATAAGGTCAGAGTTAAAACTTGAAATAAATTGAATTATTAATCCATGTAACGTGCAATGGGTTATGACTTATGGGGTTAGATAAGAATCATGAACATAGGTAGGCACTAGGCAGATATTGAAACTGTAATTCCAGGTGAGCAAGTTAGCTCGGTGCTTGGTTAAGATGGGTGTGGAGCCTGGTGACAGAGTTCTTATCTACATGCCCATGATTCTGGAGGTGAGATAACATGTTTATCACTGGTGTGCCTCCTTATTGTGACTCTTTATTGTGACTCCTTATTGTGACTCCTTATTATGACTCCTTATTATGACTCCTTATTGTGACTCCTTATTGTGACTCCTTATTGTGACTCCTTATTGTGACTCCTTATTATGACTCCTTATTGTTTTTGTGTCCCATTTGGCATTTTCGTTGCCGGATGTTCAGTTCTGTGTTGAATATCAAATAGCATATAATAGACATAATAGTTAATCTTCGATTACATTTTATCTAGACAATTAAGCTACGCATGTTATCTCAGGGCGCGGTAGCAATGTTGGCGTGTGCACGTATCGGCGCGATACATAACGTTGTGTTTGGCGGGTTTGCCTCAAAAGAGCTCTCCGTCCGTATTGATGCCTCCAAACCCCGCGTAATAATAGCAGGAAGTAATGGGGTGATGCCCGGCAAAACTGTGCAGTTCCAACCAATCATCGATAAAGCAATGGAGATGTCAACTTTCAAACCTCAGTACACCATTTACAAGAACAGGTCGATTGAGGTGAGATGATAAATATTTTAAGTTTAATAAAACTAATATATAAGTGTGTACAAAGCTCATGATAGACGTTTATGGAGAAGCTATGGGTGAGTCGAGACTACTCGGCCACTCGATTTTATGATTTATTTCCTATTTTCTTGTGTTTGCTGTATATAGTTGATTAATAATAATACTCAGAGATCTATGGCCTGATTTGATATAGAATTTGTTGATAAAAACTACATTTATTTGTGGAATTAAATTATAATCTGAGTATATAAATTGTCACATGATAAACAAAATGTGACATAACATTTTATCTCCAGACCAGTGCAGTTGTGAACGGTAAAACAGTGCTAGATTTTGATGAGTTACTGGATAGTGTCAGTACAGGTCATGACTGTGTCTCACTTCCTGCTGATCACCCCCTTTATCTGCTCTACACCTCCGGCACTACGGGCACTCCCAAGGTGAGTTGGTGTCCCCGACTGTTTGTTCTTTGTTTAGAAAATGTTTTATTTGGATGTTGGTTCGTTTGTTTGGTTTTACAGTTTGATCGTGGTAAATCCCTGTTTACAAGCCAACAAACTGAGGACCATATAAAGAGTTTATCTAGCGCTCAATCTATAATAATGGAGACTGATGCTTTTACAATAACCAACTACCAGGCAGTGCAGAGAAACGCGGCGGACTACGCAACTGTTCTACTCTACACAATGAAGAACGAATTCGATTTGAACCCTGATGAGGTACAACAATGCAAGAAATAATAAATTTCAAAAGTTGTCATATCAAAAAAGTGTTTCTCTTTAATTTTTTGAACACCCTGGTTTATTATAGACTAATAAGACATTCAGAAGTTGATATATAAATTATACAGGTGTGGTTCTCTGCTACTGACTATGGGTGGGTGGTAGGCCACTCTTACTGCGTTTACGCTCCTCTGCTCTCCCGCAACCCTTCTATTATATTCGAGGGAAAACCAGGTGAGACTAGGGATTATCATGATTATAGATGTACACGTGTAGTAGTAGTTAACTTAGATTATTATACAATAAAAGCAAACTTTATCACTCTCATGAGCATCAAGAAAGCGTCGCAATCGACTGTCGATTAAGTCTTGGATTAGTATCAACGTCCAATGATTCACTTATTTATAAACGATTATAAAGCGTTATCAATGATCATACAATGTAGCATTGACACACGTTATCTTGCTACAGTGGGAACGCCAGACGCTTCCACCATACACAGGATACTATCAGAGCATGACGTGCGAAGTGCGTTTGCGTCTCCATCAATCATGAGGATACTGTGTAGAGAGGAACCAGAGGGAACAGCTGGAGATGCCTACCCTAGACCTAAGTGAGCAGATTTTAAATGTCATTAAGAATGTTTTTCAGGATTTTAAATTCGGTTGTTTTATCGTCTCTTCAATTTTCATGGGAATTGTAGTTTGTGCACTTACAAATTCTTTCTCGCAGAGAGTTTCTCACAATTAACGAACTGTCTTCCGCATTACTACAATTATTATTATTCTATTTTTCCAACGTTCGACACATTTTTCAGTTTTGGTACAATGTTTCTGGCGGGGGAGAGGTGTGATATTGGAACGTTACTCTGGGTTAGAGACACTCTGAAACTCAACCCTGTAGATCACTACTGGCAAACAGGTAATTAGTTACTGGCAAACAGGTAATTAGTTACTGGCAAACAGGTAATTGGTTACCAGGGCAAACAGGTAATTAGTTACTGGCAAACAGGTAATTAGTCACTGGCAAACAGGTAATTAGTTACCAGGGCAAACAGGTAATTGGTTACTGGCAAACAGGTAATTAGTTACTGGCAAACAGGTAATTAGTTACCAGGGCAAACAGGTAATTAGTTACCAGGGCAAACAGGTAATTAGTTACCAGGGCAAACAGGTAATTAGTTACCAGGGCAAACAGGTAATTGGTTACTGGCAAACAGGTAATTAGTTACTGGCAAACAGGTAATTAGTCACTGGCAAACAGGTAATTAGTTACTGGCAAACAGGTAATTAGTCACTGGCAAACAGGTAATTAGTCACTGGCAAACAGGTAATTGGTTACTGGCAAACAGGTAATTAGTTACCAGGGCAAACAGGTAATTGGTCACTGGCAAACAGGTAATTAGTCACTGGCAAACAGGTAATTAGTCACTGGCAAACAGGTAATTAGTCACTGGCAAACAGGTAATTAGTTACTGGCAAACATGTAATTAGTTACTGGCAAACAGGTAATTGGTTACTGGCAAACAGGTAATTAGTTACCAGGGCAAACAGGTAATTGGTTACCAGGGCAAACAGGTAATTAGTCACTGGCAAACAGGTAATTAGTTACTGGCAAACAGGTAATTGGTCACTGGCAAACAGGTAATTAGTCACTGGCAAACAGGTAATTAGTTACTGGCAAACAGGTAATTAGTCACTGGCAAACAGGTAATTAGTTACCAGGGCAAACAGGTAATTGGTCACTGGCAAACAGGTAATTAGTCACTGGCAAACAGGTAATTAGTCACTGGCAAACAGGTAATTAGTTACTGGCAAACATGTAATTAGTTACTGGCAAACAGGTAATTGGTTACTGGCAAACAGGTAATTAGTTACCAGGGCAAACAGGTAATTGGTTACCAGGGCAAACAGGTAATTAGTCACTGGCAAACAGGTAATTAGTTACTGGCAAACAGGTAATTGGTCACTGGCAAACAGGTAATTAGTCACTGGCAAACAGGTAATTAGTTACTGGCAAACAGGTAATTAGTCACTGGCAAACAGGTAATTAGTTACCAGGGCAAACAGGTAATTGGTTACTGGCAAACAGGTAATTAGTCACTGGCAAACAGGTAATTAGTTACCAGGGCAAACAGGTAATTGGTTACTGGCAAACAGGTAATTAGTTACTGGCAAACAGGTAATTAGTTACCAGGGCAAACAGGTAATTAGTTACCAGGGCAAACAGATAATTAGTTACCAGGGCAAACAGGTAATTAGTTACCAGGGCAAACAGGTAATTGGTTACTGGCAAACAGGTAATTAGTTACTGGCAAACAGGTAATTAGTCACTGGCAAACAGGTAATTAGTTACCAGGGCAAACAGGTAATTGGTTACTGGCAAACAGGTAATTAGTTACTGGCAAACAGGTAATTAGTTACCAGGGCAAACAGGTAATTAGTTACCAGGGCAAACAGGTAATTAGTTACCAGGGCAAACAGGTAATTAGTTACCAGGGCAAACAGGTAATTGGTTACTGGCAAACAGGTAATTAGTTACTGGCAAACAGGTAATTAGTCACTGGCAAACAGGTAATTAGTTACTGGCAAACAGGTAATTAGTCACTGGCAAACAGGTAATTAGTCACTGGCAAACAGGTAATTGGTTACTGGCAAACAGGTAATTAGTTACCAGGGCAAACAGGTAATTGGTCACTGGCAAACAGGTAATTAGTCACTGGCAAACAGGTAATTAGTCACTGGCAAACAGGTAATTAGTCACTGGCAAACAGGTAATTAGTTACTGGCAAACATGTAATTAGTTACTGGCAAACAGGTAATTGGTTACTGGCAAACAGGTAATTAGTTACCAGGGCAAACAGGTAATTGGTTACCAGGGCAAACAGGTAATTAGTCACTGGCAAACAGGTAATTAGTTACTGGCAAACAGGTAATTGGTCACTGGCAAACAGGTAATTAGTCACTGGCAAACAGGTAATTAGTTACTGGCAAACAGGTAATTAGTCACTGGCAAACAGGTAATTAGTTACCAGGGCAAACAGGTAATTGGTCACTGGCAAACAGGTAATTAGTCAGTGGCAAACAGGTAATTAGTCACTGGCAAACAGGTAATTAGTTACTGGCAAACATGTAATTAGTTACTGGCAAACAGGTAATTGGTTACTGGCAAACAGGTAATTAGTTACCAGGGCAAACAGGTAATTGGTTACCAGGGCAAACAGGTAATTAGTCACTGGCAAACAGGTAATTAGTTACTGGCAAACAGGTAATTGGTCACTGGCAAACAGGTAATTAGTCACTGGCAAACAGGTAATTAGTTACTGGCAAACAGGTAATTAGTCACTGGCAAACAGGTAATTAGTTACCAGGGCAAACAGGTAATTGGTTACTGGCAAACAGGTTAATGGTTACTCATTAATCAGAATGACTTAATTATCATATCTTTAAAAATTTCTTTAACAGCAAATTGCAAATACAGTTAACAATATCAGACTTGTTTTTTTGGTCAAAATTCATTATTTCTTCATTCAAAATCATCAATTTTGTTTCGATCACCATCTGTTTTTCACTCGGTGGTGCTGGCGAGTATTTTCAAATTTGTGGCTGTTTTGGTATTCACGAATTTTGGTTCCTGTCTCCTTTTGAGTTCCTCCTCCGATCTTCTCATCCATTTCCTTTGACAGAGGTTTGCGACGAAATGTCTCGGCGAGATTTTGTCCTGCGATTTTGAAACCAGACCTGAATTATAAAACATGTGTTTATGTTGAATAATCACTGCTGAATTTCTAAAGCAGTTTATAACATACTGTATTGTTAGCTATTTGATCTAGTGTCGCTCTATGATTCTTTTCACATCTTTGCTCTTGTGTGCTTCATTTTCAGCATTGCCAATTAAAAATATAATCACTTATCTAAGTTCTCTAACAGCTCATGGATTTTACTAACTGCAGCAACAACACAACATTACCTTGACTTGTGCTGGAGTGAGCGCCAGTGCGCCCGCAAGCCGCGCCCGCTCGCACCTACACAGCAGCCTCTGACTCTGATACACACTCTCCAGTGCAAGGAGCTGTGAGCCAGTGAAAACTGTCCGGGGCCGTCTCTCTTTCCTCGACTCTTTCGTTTTCTGCCCGTCCCATTGCGATAGTGGTCCTGATAAAAGTATAGAATGTTAAATTTTGTGTGTAGTCGTGTTACATTTGGTAGCAATTAGCAGCTCTGTTATCAGCTGTTGAAGAAGTGCTCGTCTTTTAGTGTGATCGTTGTGTAGCCTGTATACAAGAACTGTACATTGGAATGTACACGATGCAGCTGTAACACACTAAGTGTACCTAGTTGCTCGACTTAGTGGTAGGTTTTACAAAATGAAAGACGTTAAATTTGGGGTTTTGCGGAAGAAGATGAAATATAAAAACGTATTAAAATGGTAATCCACAGAACTAATCTCCAAAACTATATCGTGTCTCGTGAATCTAAAACTTGTGAGGAAATGGTCATGTGACATGAAAATGAAGTGAGTTTAGGAGTGAGCAGACTAATGGTGATGATATACAATCTTACAATAAACAAAACATAAACTATATAGATTCTACTGATCAATTAACATATTTTAGGATTGAAACATGAATATAAAATAATTTATAAGGCATTATTTAAGACAAAACCGTTTCACATTCTTCGCCACACATTTATTTTTTCACACTTTTGTTTCACATTTTTGTTATCATATCGGGGCCAGGTAATTGTGGTTTGGTTTCCCGTCAGATTTTACAGACTGGGGCAATAATTTATTCGAGTTTATTTTATATGTTACTAGAAAGCCCGTGGTAACAGAGATGAATCTAGTAGTTTTCTATTTCTTTGGCAGTCAGTTTTTATAGCATCAACAAATATCCACCACAACCGAAGATACAGCCAATTAAATATAGCTCGCACTGAACACCACGTAATAACCAAAAAACCGATTAAAATGCCCCTCTCAAATCCTTGCACGTGCGTGTGCGTGTAACAACCCTCGTAACCATGGTTACTTTGCAACTACATATTTCTCATCTATTTGCACGTGGGCGGTCGTACAAACAAAAATAATTCTCTGAATTATATGATAACTAGAAAGCCCGTGGTAACAGGGACGAAGCTAGTAGTATTCTTTGAAAGAACGTTTTAATCGCATCAAAAAATATCCATCCCAACCAAAGATACAGCCGATTTAAATATAAAACACTTTAAACACAACGTAATTATCACAAAACCGATCAAAATGACGTTAAAACAATCTTTGCACCAGCATGTGTGCATTAAAACACCGTTGCTATAGAACCTTTTGGTTGTTACCTAAATTCCTATTTTTCATCTAATTTGCACGTGGGCGGTCGTACAGACAGACAACAAAAATAATTCTTTGAATTATAGTAGAGACTAGAAAGCCCGTGGTAACAGGGACGAAGCTAGTAGTATTCTTTGAAAGAAAGTTTTAATCGCATCAAAAAATATCCATCTCAACCGAAGATACAGCCGATTTAAATAGAAAACACTTTAAACACAACGTAATTACCACAAAACCGATCAAAATGATGTTAAAACAATCTTTGCACGTGCATGTGTGCATTAAAACACCGTTGCTATGGAACCTTTTAGTTGTTACCTAAATTCCTATTTCTCGTCTGATTTGCACGTGGGCGGTCGTACATACATACAACAAAAATAATTCTTTGAATTATAATAGAGACTAGAAAACCCGTGGTCACAGGTTGGAAGCTAATAGTATTTTTTGTTAATAAGTTTAAATCGCGTCAAAAAATATCCTAAACAAACCGAAGATACAGCCGATTAAAATGTTGCTCGCACTAAACACAACGTAATATCAACAAAACCGATAAAAATGCCCCTCTCAAATCCTTGCACGTGCGTGTGCGTGTAACAACCCTCGTAACCATGGTTACTTTGCAACTACATATTTCTCATCTATTTGCACGTGGGCGGTCGTACAAACAAAAATAATTCTCTGAATTATATGATAACTAGAAAGCCCGTGGTAACAGGGACGAAGCTAGTAGTATTCTTTGAAAGAACGTTTTAATCGCATCAAAAAATATCCATCCCAACCAAAGATACAGCCGATTTAAATATAAAACACTTTAAACACAACGTAATTATCACAAAACCGATCAAAATGACGTTAAAACAATCTTTGCACCAGCATGTGTGCATTAAAACACCGTTGCTATAGAACCTTTTGGTTGTTACCTAAATTCCTATTTTTCATCTAATTTGCACGTGGGCGGTCGTACAGACAGACAACAAAAATAATTCTTTGAATTATAGTAGAGACTAGAAAGCCCGTGGTAACAGGGACGAAGCTAGTAGTATTCTTTGAAAGAAAGTTTTAATCGCATCAAAAAATATCCATCTCAACCGAAGATACAGCCGATTTAAATAGAAAACACTTTAAACACAACGTAATTACCACAAAACCGATCAAAATGATGTTAAAACAATCTTTGCACGTGCATGTGTGCATTAAAACACCGTTGCTATGGAACCTTTTAGTTGTTACCTAAATTCCTATTTCTCGTCTGATTTGCACGTGGGCGGTCGTACATACATACAACAAAAATAATTCTTTGAATTATAATAGAGACTAGAAAACCCGTGGTCACAGGTTGGAAGCTAATAGTATTTTTTGTTAATAAGTTTAAATCGCGTCAAAAAATATCCTAAACAAACCGAAGATACAGCCGATTAAAATGTTGCTCGCACTAAACACAACGTAATATCAACAAAACCGATAAAAAATGCCGTTTTAACAATCTTTGCACGTGCACGTGCGTGTAACAACCCTCGTTACCATGGTTACTACGCAAGTTCATATTTTTCGTTTGTTTTGCACGTGGGCGGTCGTACATACATATACATTCTACATAAATAATTCTTTGAATTATAGTAGAGACTAGAAAACCCGTGGTAAGGGAGGAAACTAATACTCTAATAGTATTTTTGTTAGTAAGTTTAAATCGTGTCAATAATATCCTACACAAGTACACAACTGAAGATACAGCCGATTAAAATGTTGCTCGTACTAAACACAGCGTAATATCAACAAAACCGATCGAAATGACGTTAAAACAATCATTGCACGTGCACGTGCGTGTAACAATCCTCGTTACCATGGTAACTACGCAACTTCCTATTTCTCGTCTGATTTGCACGTGGGCGGTCGCACATACAACAGAAAGAATTTTCTGAATTATAGAAGAGATAATATGTTATAATTTCTGTACTCTGTAAAGTTTGAAAAGTATAAAATTAAAAAACATGGCGAAAAGTGGCTGGAATAAAATGTTTTATCATGTGACTCACGTACATTTGACTGATTTGTTATTTAATGCGACTGGATTCGTAATTGGTATCTCAGCGTTTCAAAAGACCCAACAGTACTAGATAGTAGATATTTGATACAACAAATAATTAATAAGATTTTATAAATTGAAATCTGAATCCTGAACTAAATGAAATTTGATTCCTGAAATGTAAATAAGTTGCGTACTTAGCTGACTGATTAGATTGATTGGCCGTGTCTGCATCTTCATCTTGTACATATTCGTGTACTGTGGATATCACAATGTTAGATTGGTGTTTCTTCAAACATAAGTTTGATAAAAAACAACTGCTGTATATAATAATAATAATAATAACCCCGGGCCAGAGGAAAACTACCGACTGCCAAGGTTTGACGCCTAGGCAGTCGAGAGGGGGGGGGGGCCAATGGCATAAAATGGCATAAAATGGCATAAAATGGAGACTTTTTCTATGGAGAAAATGGAAAAACCCATGAGTAATTCTCCATTTTCTCCATTTTATGCCATGAATTTTGTCTTCGAAATTTCATCTTTAACACCATTTAACACCTAAATTGGACATCCTTACATGTTTATTTACGCTTACTAGGGGCGTAACAAGCTTATGAAAGCTCATAGTAGGCTACTAGATGCTTATACTAGGTTAGTAGAGGCACACTTCAGGCAAACTCATAATTACTCAAGCCTAGTGTAAAGTTATTTCTACAGGCTACAGCAGGAGTGAGTAATAGGGGAGAGTAATAGGCACTGAGAAGTGAGACCTACATCCTCGACAGTCGAAACAAGCTCGCACTGCAAAGGGGAGCCCTGCCTTCCGAGATCGCATTACCAGGGGGAAGCCTCGAGTCCAAATTTGTGTATCGAGGGGTAGGTGCAGACTTCGATAAACCGAAAAACCAAAAAAATATTTTCGGCTTATAATGAAGAGGGTAGCATGAAACGTGGAGAAAAGTGGTTTTTAGAAAAACTTTGAAAAATTTTGACTTAGAAAATTTTCGGCCCGAGTCATTCTCGATACGTACCTCTCGTATCGAGAGCTCCCGATTCCGAGCTCGTGTTGCAAAGGGGAGGCCTGCCTTCCGAGATCGCATTACCAGGGGGAAACCTCGAGTCCAAAATTGTGTACCGAGCGAGGGGTAATTTTCTAAGTCAAAATTTTTCAAAGTTTTTCTGAAAAACACTTTTCTCCACGTTTCATGCTACCTTGTTCATTTTAAGCCGAAAATATTTTTTCGGTCAAAATTTTTCAAATTTTTTCTGAAAACCGCTTTTCTCCACGTTTCATGCTACTCTGTTCATTATTTGCCGAAAATATTTTTTCGGTTTTTCGAAGTCCACACCTTCCCCTCGATACACAATTTTGGACTAGAAGTAATGCGATCTCGGAAGGCAGGCCTCCCCTTTGCAACACGAGCTCGGAATCGGGAGCTCTCGATACGGGAGGTACGTATCGAAAATGACTCGGACCGAACATTTTCTGAGTCAACATTTTTCAAAGTTTTTCTGAAAACCACTTTTCTCCATGTTTCATGATACTCTGTTCATTATTGGCCAAACATATTTTTTCGGTTTTTCGAAGTCCACACCTTCCCCTCGATACACAATTTTGGACTCGAAGTAATGTGATCTCGGAAGGCAGGCCTCCCCTTTGCAACACGAGCTCGGAATCGGGAGCTCTCGATACGGGAGGTACGTATCGAAAATGACTCGGACCGAACATTTTCTGAGTCAACATTTTTCAAAGTTTTTCTGAAAACCACTTTTCTCCATGTTTCATGATACTCTGTTCATTATCGGCCGAAAATATTTTTTCGGTTTTTCGAAGTCCACACCTTCCCCTGGCCTCGATACACAATTTTGGACTCGAGGTAATGCGATCTCGGAAGGCAGGCCTCCCCTTTGCAACACGAGCTCGGAATCGGGAGCTCTCGATACGGGAGGTACGTTTCGTAAATGACTCGGATCGAACATTTTCTAAGTCAACATTTTTCAAAGTTTTTCTGAAAACCACTTTTCTCCATGTTTCATGATACTCTGTTCATTATTGGCCGAAAATATCTTTTTTTAAAATAATTTTTCTCGAAATTCTAAATTTTTCAGGTTTTCCATGGCATAAAATGGCATAAAATGGCATAAAATGGAGACTATTTCTATGGAGAAAATGGAAAAACCCATGAGTAATTCTCCATTTTCTCCATTTATGCCATTGGCCCCCCCCCCCCCCCCCAGTCGAGACCTCTTATTGAGACCCTTTATAATAATAACGCTTTATTTGTATGCCGCTTAGGCAAATGTTTAAAATTTGTCCACGTCATGTTTTTATTGATCGAGCCAGTTACTCACAGCGGCTGATGTGGTCTGCTTACTGCACTCTTCTTCCGACGAAACAGTCTGATTTATGTATTTACCAGCTGCAATACGTGAGCATATTAATGTGAAATGTTATCAATTTGAAACAGCATTAGGGTTTAAATTTCATCTTCTGGTGAAAAGCCAAAGGCAACGCCAGCTAAAAAGTAATGATGTGTATTTACAAAATCGTAAGAGATATTATAAGATACTTTATGGCACACATAGTTTATTTTCGGCGATGGTAGCACACATAAAATATCATTTCTGTATATGAGTAGGACACTTGTAACTGATTCTACGAAATTACAAACAATGTTCATTTCACGGATCTTGATTTCAAGGTATTTAACCGGTTGTTATTATAATCAGGAAATTATCGATTGAAAAACACGAGATTTAAACTTGTACAAAAGTTAGTTGTGACACTATAAATACTGAATAAAAAAGGGTTTAATTTTGCATCTCAAATTCTCTGTGGCAAACTTCATATCACAATAATCGTGACATTTCTTCTAAAAGGTCTACTCGGACATAGCTATGTAACCCGCGATAAATACTTCATGTTGTGCTTAACGCGTCACCTACATTTATTACGCGCGCGCGAACGAACTATTACTCCACTTCGATTAATGATCGAACGATCCGGCTTGCATGGCCGGCCTCCTTCATCACAATTGTTCGGGTACATTATCATGATCGACAGAATGAGCTGTTTTTATCTAAGAAATTTCGTACTGAGAGAAAATAACATCAAATTTGGATGGCGTAGAATAAATATCAATGATGGAGAGCGATTTAAACTGATAGGCATTCATAAATGAATGCCGACTATCATTAGGGTTCTATTGTGGACAAGATCCAGTTGCCTTAATTGTGCAAAGAGAGCCAAATGGACAAACGACAAACAATAGTTGCCAAGTATGAAATATATCACACAACCACTAAATACACGCACAAACCTTTATCATTGACGAGAAGAGAGTTTATGCTGAAGGGATGATCAACATTCTTCCCCACCTCTTTAATTTCTCCCTCACGATTTGAATGAGACATCTTGCAGCACACAGCGGAAACTGTTTAGAAGCACAGCACGATAATATATCCGTCGTTGACGACTGCTGGCAACGCGAAATGAGGTCTAAACGTCAAACGTGTTCACAAATTTCCCTTAGAAGAGGAGACCCGAGACTAATTACGCAAGGTGGTGGCGGTTATTGCAAATCATCATCTGATTTTCATGAAAAGCAGAGGCCCTCCCCCGATCTGATGGAATTGATTAGAAAGGTGTCAAAGTGTCAATCGTCCTGCCGGAGTGATCGATCACGCTGTGAAAAGTCTTTTCAATTATCAAATACCATCTGTCAGCAGCTCCATTTTTACCCCCCGCAGTGATTGGTAAAACTCCTCCCCTACTTATAAACCGGTATTTTTCTGGGTCCACCAATCGAGTCGTCCGATCACAGTCACGTGACGGATAATTCGAGTGCTTGGCAGGGGGCCTAGTCCCATAGCCGCTTGTAATTTAGCCGAGTTTTACAATTATATCGGGCTATAATGAAATTTAGACCGGACTCTTCGTCTCCTAGTGAACATCTTAGTGACGTTTTGAGCGTGAAAACTGCTCTGAAAATTTCCGGGGGTAACGGAATACATTGTATTACCTTTTAGGAAATATCTGAGAAGCAGATCGGGTCTGCTTGGTTGCTCCCAGAAAATTCAACTGGCCCACATCAGCCGTGACAAATGACTTTGTTAGATCTGAATCTTTGGGATTTATCATCTTTTATTAGTATACAATCGAAATCAACTACCATAAATTATTTGTTGTTACTTTATTGCCTTACTCGGCCTGATAATGATCAAAGTTTTCCTCCACAACAAAGCAAGGATTTGAGTAAATAAAAGATGTATCTGAAAAAGCTAAAAGTAACATAAAGTAAATATCTTATTCTCTGTAATAAAGTTTGCGTTTTACAGTAAAACACAAATAAAATTCTAATAAAACCAAACTTTTTATCACCTCGATTTATCGTTCAAATGTGTAATGGCTGAATGAAAGAGGCTTCAAAGTATTTCTACATTATACAAATGCCAAACATCCCACGTACGCTGTGCACCGATTGTAATTAATGTAATTAATGTACTAATTAATGTAATTAATGTACTACCAACTGTCCCTCTTTAAACAAGTATTTACACAAATGTCCCCCGCAGAGTCCGGTACCCCTATTCTAATGCCACCTGTCGCGCTGGGAGAGAAGGTGGACTGTAACGGGTCCGCTGGTAAATCCTCAGTTGGAAACAACATTCTTATTGTAGATGATCAGGGAAACGTGCTCCCTGATGGGGAGTTTGGACAAATAGTCGCCAAGTTAGTTATATTTAAAATAGTGGAAAAATAACCATACTTTAATTGAGTTGCTAATTGCACCTTATTGATTGGAATTGCTGTTTGATCTGTCATCCTATTCTCACTACATAAATTCCTCCAGGCTTCCCCTCAGACCGGGCTTCTTCCCTACCCTCTTTCAGAACGACTCTGCTTATGCTGAGAAGTACTTTACCGACTTTCCGGTTCGTTTGAAAAGTTTATCTGTGCCTTCTTTGGGCTCTGATCATATTTCTTCACATTTGGTCTTGTATATAAAGCAAAATATAGTAATATCTGTTTTATATGACATCTGAATTTGTTGACAATACCTGAGAGTGAAATTTACAGGGCTACTACAACACATTTGACGCGGGATACAGGGACAGTGAGGGCAACGTGTTCGTCATGGCTCGCACTGATGATATTATCAATGTTGGAGCAGTCAGGTTATCAACGGGAGCTGTTGAAGAGGTGCTATTTACTTCCACGTTAATATGAGCTCACACGTTTACCATTGATCCCATTGTTCCCATTGATATATATACAGGGTGGGCCAAAAGTCAGTACCCATACGTTGGCCTTAATAGCTCCGCCGTGTTTTATATTTGAGAGCTGTTGCTTTGCAGATGGCATACTGTATTTACTGGTTCGAGGATTCCGTCGTCAAAATTTGAAAATTCGAATATTTTAGACCACGCCCATTCAATATTAAAACACCTATATTGTTTTCTCTGAACATGCTGAACGCCTAATTTTTTCAGAGACGGTAGATTATCAAATGTTGCATATATGATCTGAAAATATGAGGCAAAACGGATTAGAAATGACGAAGTTATCAAGCATTTTCTGTATCTCGTTAACAAAATTGACTGGGTGATTGTGTGACACGACACCTTAATTGGGCACCCTTAACAATTCCCATAATGTTTAACGGGGTAGTTAACGGGGGACCTTATCACGTGATTAGGTAAACCAATCACCTGATCACACGTAATGAATAAACTCGTTATGCTTAATATCTCGGTCATCTGAGAAGCTACAGTTCTAATTCTTTCAGGACAAACGTAATTCGAATGGCCAAACACAATTCAATAACATTTAGCTTGATCCGACTATCTAAACTATCAAATAAATGTGAAAATGAACCTCCGTTTGAAAAAAATGAACGCGAATATTTTTCGAGTTGACAAATTCCTCGAACCAGTGGTGGTACTAACCCTACTAAGTCATACCAGAAAGAAGTATTTAAATTGGGCACTCAGTGACTGAGCTATAAAGGCTAACGTATGGGTACTGACTTTTGGCCCACCCTGTATATATTTGAGACATTCAGTGAAACAGTAAAACACGAAATTCTGAAAGCAAGTTTATTAAAATAACTGTTCTATGAAGTAAATTAAAAACATGACAAAAATAGATCAATACTGAGATGGGAAATTTGTGGGTAAGTCTCATTCAATCATAAGATATAAATAAAAGATGCAGAGGTGAAAGTAAACAACAAAATGCAAGTGTCTGTGGAAAGATTAAATATTAAAACATATCATATAAAGGTCAATTTTTTATTTCATTAAGAGCACTACGTTTATTAAGTCCTCCAAAATCACTGAGGGTCATAAGCTGGTTTTGCCAAAATGATTCTCTTTCTTTAGCAACCCTACTTCTATCTTCTAAGGTTAAACATTTTATAAAATCTAGCTTTTCAAAAATAATAACCTCTATCTGACCGGATAACTCATTATCAAACGTTTTTAAGGGCTCTTTGGTAAGATTATGAAACTGGTTATCGTTAAAATGACAAGAAATTTCACAACTCCTAACCGCTTTCCTAATATGTGATTTGTGGTTCTGCCATCTGGTCTTAAAATTGTTAACTGTGCTTCCTACTGAAGCACGTCTGCAGACTTAATCCCTTACTAGATAGCACACCCCTACTGTGTTGCAGTCTAGTTGTCCAATGATGTTAACAGTGTACCCCGAGTGGTAGCTCTGAGCTGTTTTTGATTCACAAATATACATTCTACAGGCTTTACATCTGGAGTTACAATGATAACATCCCCCCTCTTCTATACTAGTAGGCAGAGCCACATTTTCAGTGTTAGAGTTTAAAGCCATAACATTACTATCTTCATGATACTTACGATCTTCTGAAAGTTTACTCGGAACTAAAGTTTCTTTGATAGTTTTATTACCACGATATGAAACAAGTACTTTACTAGGCTGGATCACAGACTTTAAAAGGGGGTCTAGGCCAAGGATAAATTTATTCTTGTTAACTATTTTACCAATTGGAGGTAAGTTAGGGTCAAAATCACAAACTAAAGGAAAACATCCTTCACTATTCTTACTATTAGAGCTTGTAAGGTTTTTGAAATCAGATCATCCCGTTTAAGTAACTCAACTTTCTCAAAGGATTTATGGATAAGATCTTTATTATTAGATCTTCTAGATATTCACTGAATTCAATTTTACATTTCAAATACTCTTCTTCCTCTGAACAGTTTTTGAACACTCGATGTGCTACTCCATATGGAATATTCTCTGCTGTGTGTGTAGGGTGGCAGGATTGTGGGAGTAAATAGCTATGGGCATCACTAGGTTTGCAGTACGTCCTAGTTTCTAGCTTGCAATTTTTCGAGTAAATAAACAGGTCTAGAAATTCAGTCCCCTCTGTAGAAGGTGTCGACATTGTAAACTTGAGGTTTGGATGGTATTGGTTGAGCCAAAGTAGGAACTGGTCTAGCTTCTCCAGTGACTCAGTCCAAGTGATGTATATGTCGTCACGGTATCTGCCATAGAACTCGGGGGTTGTGATTTCTTGGCACTCCACGATCTTACTGTCCAAGGGGCTGAGAGCTGAGTCTGCATACTGGCAAGCATTATTTGGACCCATCGCAGTTCCACTGTCTGTACATACATGTTGCCATTGAAAACAGTGATGTTGTTATCCAGGGTTATCTCCAAAGCTTCCATAATGCAGTCTGTGGAGAAAAGTTTAGTACTTCTTTGGTCTAGTAAGGTTCTACAAGCTGGTAGTCCAATCTCCTTTGAAATGCTGGGGAACATGTTTACAATATCAAATGTAACGTGGTAGATGGTCTTCCCAGTCAATCTACTTGACTCATTGAGTTCTTTCATCTTCATAAGTAGATCATTAGAATCCATGAGGCAGTGGGGCAGGGTTACCTTCTTTAGTTCTTCTGCTGTGAATATTGAGAGGTTCTTGATGTAAGAGTTACATCCAGTGCTGATAAGTCTCCCAGGGTAGTTTTTCTCTGGTTTGTGAGCTTTCAGGTTCATGTAGTTTACTCCAGGTTCATTTTCCTCTTCACTAGGTGTTACCCATTCCATAAAGTTTAGGGTCATGCCAGGGCAGTCAGCATCTGCTGAGTATTTCCGAACCCACTCTTTAATGGTGATGATGGTTGTGTGGATCTGTTGTTGTTGATCCGATACTTGTTTGAAAGTGCTCTGATCTTTTAGAGCAGGATCTACTATATTGATGTAGTCTGATTTGTCTAACACAAAGAACCCAGTCCCTTTATCAAATAATCGAATTACAGCATCATCCCAGCTTTTGAGCTCTTGGGAACTGCTTTTGTAGTCTCCTTGTCTACATTCCTAGGAGCTGGCTTTGGTTTTCTAGGGTGGTTAGATATCTGTTTCTTGACATTGCTGATAAACAGTTCTAATGCATGATTACCACTGTTAAATTAAAATTCTTCTTCTTTGAGGTTTTTATTCCTAGAACTTTCTCCATTTGCTTTACCTTCTGGTCAAGGGTTTTCTCATGTTCTTCTACATTTTGGGTGGGGATTACAACTCTACTGAGGACGAAACTCATTCTAAGTGAGTTTGCCCAGGAGTTTACATCTTCTACCAGTTTATCTCTGTTCGTTTTAGAAGGAGTAACTGCAAATGATTCTCCAAGGTGGAAGACAAACTTATGAGCATTTGTAACTGTTTTGGACGAGAGATTAATGACAGTTTTGTCTAATGCAGCTTGGCTGACATTGTTTCTGTTAAGTGGTCTTGATTTTATCCCATCCCTCCTGTGTTTATGGACAGATTTCCTTTTTCTAGGTTTAGTGACTTTTGATTTTTTCTCCTTGCGCCTACGAGTTCTTGTTTTGGTTAGAGATATCCTGGGTACTTCTGGTTGTTCTGGTAATGAAGTATAGCTGTTTTTGATGTATACCTCTGTTCCATTCACTTTGTCTCTATTTAACTTAGAATCGTGTGTTTTCTCACATTCCAGTTTCTGTTGGCGGATCTTGTGTTGAACAGTAGCCATACCTCTCTCAAAATGGTTCATTGGCACAGCAGTTTTAAACTCATTTTCCAGTTTGTAGTAGTTCTCTCTTAGTCTGTTTGACCAGTTGTGGTAGTAGAGGATTAAGATATCCAAGATTCTGCTAGCTGTGAATATCATCATACTGGCGGTCAACTTCTCTAAAACAGGGTCTCTGACACTACACTGAAATTGACACTGTTCAAAGATACCTTTTGGTAAATCTAACTAATCTAACATAGAGCTCAAATCCTTGATATCAAGGTATATGCTATCTGACACAACTAACTCTACCTCCCCCAGGCAATTGCGCACCACGAGCTGATATCAGAATGTGCGGTGGTCGGACAAGACGACCCCCTTATGGGGGAGAGGCCTCTTGGTTTTGTTGTCATGACACCTGGTTAGTATGAAGTAGAGAAAAACTTATTATTTAATCTGATTTTCAAAATTTCACAATCTCTGTTACTGGGTCAATGCTCTTTTTAGCTGGTTCATGTCCTTCAACCTTGTAATTTCAGTAGCATTTATTACAAGTTTCTTTGTACAACATTTCAATTCAGCTGACACCGTCTCATGTCAGGTTCAGAGCTTACTTCAGAGATAACAAAGGAGGTAATAAAACTTGTCAGGGATCACATCGGCCCGCATACTGGTCTGCAGGAATTATTGCAGGTAAATTATCTTGCCCCGTTGTAGTGAGACGACGTTTTTGTACATCAAAGAATAAGTGAATTAATAATAGCTACCCGATGCAACCCTATCTTAAAGATAATCGCTCGGAGTGACTGCGACCGGTATTCAGAATGCATTTTTCTCTTGTTCATGATTTTACGGTTTCCCGAACATTTTTATCAGATGTGAGGGACACAAATGTTTTTTCATCCTCCCTCCAATTTAATATATTATCATGCACCCACAGGTTGAACGATTACCGAAGACAATCTCACAGAAGATCCTACGTAATATGATGGTAGCGATAGTGAACAACAAGCCTTACAAAGTTTCCCCTACTATTGATGATCCGACTGTTGTTGGTGAGATTGTAGAGTGTGTTGAATCTTGGAGGGAAGGGCTCAGTAATTAGTGTGCATGATCCGACTGTTGTTGGTGAGATTGTAGAGTGTGTTGAATCTTGGAGGGAAGGGGTCAGTAATTACTAATTAGTGTGCAGATAAGATAAGACGGGAGTGCCCTGTTTTCAGAAGCACAATGAAGAATCACTCCATTGCACAATGTATTTTAACATTTATTACTTTAACTGATTCAGTATGAGATTAAGATAGTGGGAATATGAAAGTCAATTTTATCAGATTTAAATATTTTTGTTAAGTAATATAATTTAATAGTAAATTAGGTGTCCTTACACGAGCTTGAGAAACTAAAAATATCGATAGTTCTACTTGCCAGTTCTTAACCTGATTTTTAAGTTGATTAGATTAAATAATGATGAGTATATATACTTATATACAACTTATATAAAACTAAAGTTTTATCTTATTAGTGGTGTTATTAAATTACAATTTATCATGACAACAGTTTCTCTGTCCGGTCCTATAACAGGCCACTTTTCTGGTTGTACTTTTTAGTGTTAGGTATGTTTTAATCTCAGATTTAAATCGTTTCCAGATAAACTTACAGAAGAATTTTACAGTTATTTCGTTTATATTTGCACTCATTGTGGTTTGTGTTAAACCCTTTTCTTACAAGTTACGATTAAAATGCTTTGTATTGTTTGAGGCAATTTAACAGATGACGTCCCCTCTTTACTGTATTTTCAGACCTCATCCGCTGAAATCTTCGTCAATAGTCTTTCTATTATTTTCCCCAAATAATCATATGATTAGAACATTTAGCAGCTGCTACATACGACCCCTGAAGATGTGACGTCATTTATGGTCGCCCACTTAACTATAACTTTCGTGCGTGATATTTTTATCAGTAATACATTTTAGAAACATTTTCAGAATTCAGAGAAATTTTTAGAATTCAGCCATTGTTATAAACATTTTTAGAGATATTGTTAGAAAAAAGTTTAATCATTATAATTATAGAGTTATAGTTAATTGAAAGTATTATATTTTGGGCAGATACAAAAAAAAAACTACATTTTAACAATAGGTATTGAAATTGTTTTGTTTCGTATCGGAATGATTACAAAAATGCTATCTTATTATAGGTCAAGTCATTATCAAAAATTGATTGAAAATGCCAAATAATTTGAGGTCATTAGGATAACAAAAATAATTACAAAATTACATCTTCTATATTATAGGTCAAGTCATAGTCAAAAATTGGTCGGATATGCTGAAGAATTTAAGGTCAGTAGGATAAAACCACCATTTAACATGTGGAAAAAGTAGTCCAACATTTTACCGTAGTCATAACTAGAATGTAAAATCTGAAAAACATTATTGCTGCAAATAGTTTGCAGCATTTCCATGAAGCATAATTTACAATACACATACATTAAGTGTCTGGTACGAGGATATGACTATATACAGTAAAACTTTACAAGGGGCAGGTCTAAACAAAAACATAAAATTTGCCGGTCATCATATTAACAGTACTAGTATCGGTTCCCGTTCAGCCCTCACGAGCATTTCCAGACAGCTATAGCCAGGCTACCTCCAAAGAACATATACAATAAATTCTTGGTCTCGTAGGTCAGCTCGAACCCGAATCCCTCACCGACGACGACATGCCAGCTGCTTCCAAACTTCTTATCCATGTTTTCCTTTATCATCTTCGAGGCTGCCTAAAATGAAGAGAATTAAATTTAGTAAGTACAGTGTCAGAACATACCTCCTTAATTGGGAGTTCACTGAGGCGGCCAAATTGATATTACAAATAGCCTCATTGTCGCTCTGGGAATGTAATATTAGGTAATACAAATTTGTTGCAACCAACCTCGTTGCTAGAAGCGAACTTCTCACACGCAGTCACGCACAATTCCATGGCTTCTGTTCTCATTTCCTCTGCCATGTCGGAATGCTGAAAGATAAGGCACGTTCAGTCTCCAGATCAGATAGGAATGATGTGAGTCAAGTCGTGCTGCCCCAGAAAATCTTGCCCTTATGATCTAATAGCTTAACCCTACCTTTAACCCTAAGTTAGGGACCCTAACCCTAATGGTGCACTATAGCTATGGTCTGGGAAACAACTTTCTGTGGCAGAATAACGGTAACAGAATGGTATAACTCACAGTGAACAGTTATAAATAAGTATAGAAGTTACCTGTTACTAGTTAGAACCAGAATTCAGATAGATAAGATTATTGCTCGTTTGTTAAGTGCTCAATGCAAGTGGCAAGGCGATCGATCGTTCGAATGATTGCGCGCATGTTGCGCGGCATAACAAGCTAGGCAGGGAACGCGACGAAACTTTCTACATATATTTTGCTCGACCTTAGCAACCGGCCTAGCAACCAATCGCCGAGTTGTTTTGGTATGAAAATGAGGTACATGTTGGGGTGGGTTAAGTTAAGACCATTCAGAAGAAGTAAAAACCACCCACTAAAGCCTTTAATTTTAGAGTGTCAGCATTCGGACTAACTAAATGTGATCGAATTAATTTCACCCCAGTTACATAGTCCTCAATAAATATGATGTATTTGTAGTGTTGAAATACCATGTCTCAATCAAAATTTTTCGAACACGATGCAAGTAAATAACTCGCAGCTATCATCAATCATGGCCGGTTTGCAAATTTAATGCTATTTTATTCTAACCCTATTAAGGTTCAGCAATATAAACCTAATCTTATACACAGAAGTAACCGCCAAATCTTACTCTGATAAGAGGGAAACTGTGAAGTCTTCTAGGATCGTTCTTATCTCCAGCTTCTTTCTTTTCATCATCCGCCATTATGCTAGTAAAAATAAAAGTGGTTAAACAACCTCCAGATTCAATTAATTCTTGTCACATGCACATGATAAATAATTTATAATATGATTATTATATTTAGATTGAATGTAGACAACGAATACAACAAAGCTTAAAACGTTGCTTATTTATATGGTAAGCAGCATAAATAGCACATAAGAACTAGCATATCAAGTTGAAGTTGTTGCAAGCACAGTGTGTGGTAGTGGTTAATCTTTTAAAAGATGGAGCGTAGTGCAGAGTCACACAGAGTAGTAGTACAACCCTTTTGACCATTAGGTGCTTAGGATGAATCTTGTATAGACAATAAAATAAGAACAGTGATCATATTTATTTGAAAGATGTTTGGATTGAGTCAAATTGTAGTGCGTTCTGTTTGGCCTTTAAATTACAGTTGTTACTCGGAGGTGATTACCGACAATGTATAATGGGAGCGGTGTGGTGTCGTATCACATGACCACCTCCCTACTGAACAGAATCTATAAAATAAAATCATTGGATGAAGATGAAGACCATGTTCTACAAGAATGTGCCCTTGTGATTAAATAAAGAGATTTTTTCCTCAGCCAACCGAGTCTGAGCCCAAGCATTACTCTCGTATGGTGCTTTGTTGAACAGGGACTTCTATACTAAAACACTTCTATTTTACTTAATAACTTTTAGCATTGCTCGTGCAAAAATGCCATTGTTATGCAGTAGTCTCTATTTTGTGATCAAAGTACAGATCGGAATTTTAATAATCAAAACAATACTAAGACGTGACACTGTCATAAGTATGTCTCCATAAAATAAGCTCTACTAAAAATTAAGTGCATGACTTATGATTTTAACGGTTATCAGTACTAAATTATCGAGAAACAATATTGACCCAATTATCGCCAATAATGTTATCAAGATATTATCTCGTTGCATATTCTATTTTTGATCAGTGTTCAATCAGTAAGGTTAGTGTGAGGGACACAAATCACGATCGAGGTATTGGAAACTGAATATCCGGAGAAAACTTTGATGAGAGAAAAAGTTTGAAAATGTCAGATTCCAGCTTTCCGTGACCCAAATTTGACTGTTTTGACTGAATTTTTCATTTTTCTTGAATTACCATCCTACGGAGGATAGCACAAGACACGATTGAGGTACTCAAAGTTCTATTCCTAAAGAAAGCTTTGATAAACAGAAAATCATCAGGATATAAAAAGAGATTTTGGAAGATTTTTGAAGAGGAGCCTTTCTGCAGTCCCCTTGACTGAAATTTCGCGGTTTTGACTGAAATTTTGACAAGTGACCAATCGGTGAGGTCGGTGAGAATGACACAAGTCGCCATTAAGGTACTGGAAGCAGTATATCCGGAGAAAACTTTGATGCAATGCAAAATTTTAATATGTCCTAACCGTTAAGACGTATTCTAATTTCAGCTCTCCGCGACCAAAATTTCACTGTTTTGACTGAATTTTTCTTAAATGACCATCTTACAGGGTCACTCAGGATGGCACAAGATACGATTGAGGTACTCAAAGTTCTATTCCCAAAAAAAGCTTTGATAAACGGGAAATCATTAGGATATAAAAAGATATTTTGGAAGAGGAGCCTTTCTGCTAGTCCCTTGACTGAAATTTCACGGTTTTGACGGAAATTTTGAACAGTGACCAATCAGTGAGGTAGGTGAGAATGACACAAGTCGCCATTAAGGTACTGAAAGCAGTATATCCGGAGAATACTTTGATGAAATGAGGTATTTATATCCCGCTCATATGATTAACCAACAACACAAAATCTTGGACCTCGTTTTTTGACGATTTTTCCAGGTCCAAGATTTTCAAAATCGAATTTAAAGTTTTCTAAGGCCTATCTTAAAATTCTAATACAATTGAATCTTCTAAATGGACTTTAGAACATATCCTGAAAGATTCAAGGTGATTGCTCAAAAAATGTAGGAGAAGATAGATTTTTAGACTCGATTTTCAGGGTGTGCGATTGAAAATCGCTCGCGCAATACAATTACACATGAGCGCTGACCTTTGGCCGGCGATAACTTCAGCCAGGAACAATATTTTTCCATGGGATTAAAAGCAGCAGATAGATATCACTCCCCTCTATCAGAAATACCTATAAAATCAATTTCGAGAGAAATTTCATAAAGACAAAATTAAAACATTTTTTATTGTAAACCTTATTTAACCTTTTAGCTTGTGTGTTGATAACAGTTGCTCTCTTATCAGTAAAATCGTTTAATTACACTGCGCTCACCGTGTAGCCTTGTAATACAAGTTTTAAGTACATCATGGACGATATGGAATTATTAGAACGTTTGTCAGCTCGCTCTGTGTATGTGACTGAAACGCATCGGGAGTTCCATTTTTGGATTACAGAAGTTGAAGAAGCCTCAAACTGTGATGAATCAGAGTTCTCAGCAGAACAATTTGAAAAACCAGGGAATCCAACTAAGAAAGTTATGTCAAAGTTATTGTACAGTGTGAACAGAGATATGAAACAATTTGTCAGAGAAGCTGTCAAAATGAAAGAAGATGTGGAGGAGTTGAAGAGCTCTCTTATTCGGTCACAAAATTCGGTGATTAAACTGCAGAGTTAACTTCTTGAGGGCAAATCAAAGCAGTTGGAATCTGTTCAGACCACCGTAAAATCTGCCGTTCAGGAAAGTGTACAAGCTGAGATCAGGTCATACAGTAAAGCTGTTTCGAAGGTCCCGCCGGAAACTGCACTGACAGAACAGAGCTTGAAAAGGGTAGTTCAAAGTGCTGTATCGAAAGAGGACCGCAGTAGGAAATTGGTCGTGTTTGGTTTAATGGAGACAGATGATGAGAAACTATCCGATAAAGTAAACGAACCACGCTATGAAGCTGTCAGGATTGGAAGGAGATTAGCCGACAAGACCAGACCTGTCAAAATATCGGTCACAAATACCAACAATATTGGTTTGCTCACCTGAGGAGCAAACCAAACACCATCTGCTGGTATTGGAAATGAAACAGAAGGCAAAGGACGATTTGAATAGACGATATTATATCATGTCAGAAGTGGTATTATTTGTTGTGAGGACAAGATCCTAGACTAATTTAAATTATTTACGACATTGTCATATTTATTTTCACCGCGCTAGTCTTTTTCACTCACCCTTTAGAGCCGCTCTGACATGGTTAGTAGCTGGCACTTGTGCCGGCTGCTAACAATGAAACTAATAAATCAATGAAACTAATAAATCAATGTTTTAGCTCATTTTACAAAGTCAAATATTTAAAACAATTAAAATTGTATAGTGCTCAATTTGTAAATGACTAGTTGATCTTTGCTATTGGAAGTTTGTCAAGGACTGGCAGCTAGCGGGGCAAGGAATGCACGGGCTTAGGGGCTTTTGTGCACACCAGAACACTAGCTCGGTAGATTTTTGGAAACTAGAAGGACTGAAAACTAAAATTGTTTTTGATGGAGGCTGAGGCATGTTTTTGAGAGGGACGGTATAATAGCTTGTGGTAACAACTGGCCTTTACTTTAATAGGATGAAGTTTTAGTTTTAGGACAGGAAGAAGGCATTAAGAAGATTTGCTCTTTGTTTACAAGGCAGAATATAAGCAATGTTGGTTATAATATGTATCAATATCTAGATCTTCGTTTATCAATTTTCACTAAATGGGTTTAAAATTTTAATAGGGAGGGAAATTCATCAACTTTATTAAGTACCTATCAAAAATAAATCTTATATCAATGTAATATATTAAAAATCATAATCCTAAGTCTAATAATAAATCTGTTAAAAACACTTTCTCACTACACTGCGCTCACACACGTTAGTAAGACCATATGGGCGGGATATAAGCACATTATTTCATTTCATTTCATTTCAAACCACACTAAACTAAATAGAAGTAGAAACCATACAATACATGTAGAGGTATAATTAAGGTAAGTACAGTGACATAATCAATCAAGAAAGATACAGATCCTAGAAAGGTAGAGATCAAGACATAAAATGGAGTGCGGTAGAAAATAAAAGTGAATTGCTATATATTTGGTTTATATATTTATGATAGTCGATATAATATATACTAATTGTGTTCTATTTCAGAATGTACCACAAACATGTTGTCTGTGGGGTTTGATAATTACTTGTAACAACTGGTGTGTTTCATTGCATAGTGATCCATTTAAAGTTAACAAGTGGTAGCAGAGAAGGACGCAATGGCACCCCCAGAGACAGTTAGAGTAACTAGTAATTACAAAGCCCCACCGGCATACAGTGAGGATCAGGACTACTGCAATTGGAAGTTAGACCTGCAGCTGTGGCAAGAGTTCACGGGTTTAGAGAAAAAGAGACAAGGAACTGCGTTGCTCTTAGAATTGAAACAAGGGAAGATAAAGGATACAGTACGATCATTGGGGAAAGATGTCCTAATTGCAGAGGATGCAATAGCGAAGATTTTAAGTCATCTTGACAAAATCTATTTAGAGGACTCAGCTCAAACCTGTTACCGAGTTTACGGTAAGTTTGAAAAATATGTGAGACCAGAAGGGTTGTCTTTACAGAGTTACATATCTGAGTTTGAAAAGTTGCTAGCGGATCTCAGGAGACACAAAATCACTCTTCCTGAAGCAGTCCTGGCCTACAGATTCCTTAACAGCGCTAACCTTCCGTCAGAAAAATATGATCTCGCTTTGGCAACTGTTAAGGATCTTACTCATAAAGATATGTGTGAAACGATCGGGAAAATCTTCTCCGTCCAATCAAACCTTTCCACACCGCCTGCGTCAATATCAGTGAAGGTGGAACATGAGGAATGTAACTATACATACAACTCAACCCCAAGAGGTGGACGAGGAAACTACAGAAGGATGTCAAGAGGACGTGGGAATCATCATCATCCGTATAATCGACAAAAGAGTGCGTATACTGGATGCTATGCTTGTGGCGATAAAAACCATATTGCAAGATGGTGCACAAGCAAGAACAGAGCTTCTTCAAGTTCAACAGATAATGC